AGGAGAATAACAATCGGAGAATTAAATGCTTGTCTGGTGGCTATGTATGGATGTATGTACAGTAAATGAAGATTAGATAGGAAGCTGGCGATAACAATAATCATCACCATGATCGATCGAAATGGGGATCGAAACGTCACTTTAACAGAGCCAGAATCGCACTCCCTCGAGTTGAAAATCCAAACACCATTCGAAAATTGCTTCGAAAAATGCTCCATTCCCTCCCTCCTCCTCCAAAACTGTGGAACAAGTCTCTTAAGAGTCCCCTCCTCCACCCTCGCCCTCCCCAAAAGCAGACGGAAAATCAAGACGAATATATAAAAATGACAACGAAAAACACACCTACAATCGCAGGGGAGAAACCTATAAATGTCCCTGAGCTCAACCCTTTAATCTATCAGCAGAGCCATCCTAATATCGTCTTTGAACCCGCTGAACAACATCATGCATCCCCTCCACATCCATCTTCCCCGCTTCCTCGTCATCATAATATCTCTCCTCCCTCACAGACCTCGCAACACCAGCAGGCGTTCCAGCAGGACCATACCCACCCCGCTCAACAGGCGCATAATCTCTCCTCCCCCGCGGCTGCTCATCATCCACATACACACTAATCTCCCTCCCGCCAGGTCTAACACTCTGCATGCGCGACATCGGCTGGCGGACCGCCGGATGCCTCTCCTCATACCTTGACGGCGGAGGCCGTACACTTGCCATCCTCACCACTTCATCCCGAGGAACCAACGGCTCCTCGACATATGTCGCGTGGCGCGCGGGTGGAGGTTGGTTTACGTAATCGACAACCCCGCGCTCGTCGCCATCATAGCCGTACACGGGTCGCTCGTGGAGGAGTTCACGTCTGAATTCTTCTGGTGCGCGGCGGTAGGTGAGAGGGGGAGGAGGGGGCATTTCTTGTGCATATCGTCTATCGTGGTATGGATCTTCGATTATGGAGGCGGCGCGGACGCTGCCGTTTGCTAGGCGGGGTGGGCCTTCGGGGTACGTGTCCATCCGGGATAGGCGGGCTGATGGTGGGGGCAGTGGTTGGAGTGGTTGGAGTCTTGGAGTCTGGGTTGCTATCTGTTCGACGTAGCGGTTTCCGTCTGCGTCGACCACCACGCGACGTTGTGGTGGCGGGGGGCCCATGATGCGTGGCTCGGGCTCTAGTTCTGGATAGGGATTGCGGAATCTAGGGGAGGGTGGTGACATACCCCCGGAGACATAGTGTCTGCTGTAAGGCTGAGTAGGCTCTTCATAGTATCTAGCTCTCTCTGTGTGGACTGGGCGATCGGTAACGGCGTAGGAAGTACCCCGAACATATCTTGGTTGGTAGTCAATAGGCGGTGGCTCCGGATAATCTTGGATATACTCAGGCTGTCTAGCATTATGCAAACTTGCAACGCGCCGCAGATCCAGATCATCGCGGGTAGGTTTCCTGTAAGTAACTCTGGAGGTGGACCGGGGGACACTCAGGTCAATCGGATTGCCTATATCATAGCCTCTATTTGGGTGTTCGTCATATACTCTTCTTTGTCCACTATCCCGTCGATGGCCAACGGGTGAATATTGAGGAGACGAAATATCAACAAATGCAGGCCGTTCGTGGTGTAGTCGAGGCTTTGACCCTCCAGCAAGTGGTAAATCAGAGAATAGGGGTGGAGAAATCGGCTCAGGTTTGATATAAGGGTGATCAGGGGAATCTGCTTCCCTTCTTTCATTGGCAACACGGTTTCGATCTCTATTTTCCTGGAGTCGTCGGCGCTTTCGAGAAGTTAAAGGTTGGGGTGCACTTTCAGGGCTTGTACGCGCAGATCCATGGCCGGAGGTTAGTCTGTCCACAGGGCGTGTATGCCGCTGTCGACTTTGAGGCAGTGATGGTACTCTTGACACAGCAAGTGGGGAAACTTTCGAGGGTTGCGGTGCGGCCGGAGATGTTATGTGATTCCTAACGACCCTTATGTCATGGCCTGGTGAAGCATTACGCCGTGCATCGGGTCCGCGTTCTACTGGCCTGCCATTGCTTCTCCTTCTAGAACTCATATCTGGTTTTGGAATATACTCGCCCTCTTCTTCTCTCGGAACAGTTGAAGTGATATCTGGGCCGGGAGGAGAGTATTCTGGTTCATCGTACACATCAGGGTGCTCCCGAACGGGGTATTGACTGATGCTGTCGCGACGAGGAGTTCGATTCACGGGACTCCTCGACAATGGCCCACGTTTGTCAGCAGCATTGTACGGAGATTCCTGTGTATCAACATCTATCACATTAGGGTCACCAGCATCAATCCGGCGACCCTCAGCATGCCGCCGGCCTACGGAACCTTCATACTCCGTCTCATCCGCGTCCACCGGATGCATATGATCTTCTCGGATGGGAGATGGTTGGTCGTTCCGAGCGACCTGTGGGGAATCGGGAGCTCTGCTCGAGTAAAACGAATTATCATCGAAAGAGTCACTGGCTGTGGTGTTTGCATTAGCCCCTTGAATATCACTGGTTGCAGTAGGCTTAACAAGCTGCAATGCTTTTGTCAGGACCTCAGACACGTCGAAATCAGGTTTTGCTTCTTGGAGGCAAGTCTGTAGTCTGTGGTCAATTTTCTTCTGCTCAAGCTGCTCACGTAATACACGCTCAATCCGCTGACGCTGCAGCTGTATCTCCGCTCTGATCAGGTCGTCAGACTTGGTAAGGAATATAGGGTCAATTTCAGACACTGGTTTTGGGGCAGTTACACGACCACTGGGGCCACTACTGCTGGAGGAAGCAGCCACGCCCGAAACAGCAGCAGAAGCCGATCCATTTACCAATGGGTTGGAGTGCGTGCTGAGCGGAGCGGGATGCTGTTTTGCCTGCACGCCCGCTGGAGTCCCAGCAGGAGCAGGGATGGGAGGAACAGCAGAGAGGGGAGGAGTTTGAACAGGTCGGTGGGTGACTTTGCGGATAACATGCTGGGGCACTTTTAGTCTTGGATGATTTCCAGAGAATATCTGGTCGTGTAAGTTCACGATCTTCTCGTACTCCAGCATCTCCTTCAGGTCTGGTTGGGGGCCGTGGTTGCCATTCACCGGACCCGAAGCGACCTCATTTGTGGGCATGTCGATGATTCCAATAGATGTGACTCAGTCTAGAATAGCAATTCTAAGCAAGGTATTGGAAGGGACACCACAGCATGCCTTCCTGCTCACTGTGAAGCAGACAAATGGGACAATCTTATGCTGGTTTTCCTCCTGTCCAACGTCTGGCGAAGATGTTTGGTTCAAGCTGGTTCTGCATCTCGCTTATTCATACGCCAATGTTTTGGGACGGGAATTCACTAGGCTTCTTCTCGCTTAGTGTCTTTTTTCGGCAGCAACCAGTACCGTGACGCTAAACCCAAAACAGATGGCTTTGTCTTAGGTAAGCCACGGTTGGAATTATCTAAAAAGCAGACTTGTTCGCTGGCGACAACAATGACAAAAATTATGGGGAAGAAATATTGAGTAGATTGATGAGCTCGCCAATACGAATGGGAAATAGCAAAATAGTCTAAGCACTGTCATTCTTTTACGGCACCTAAAGTGGCTTTGTTAGAATTGAACGAAATGAAAAATGCTCCGGAACATTGTTTATCCAGACCGATCCTCATCGATGACTGTATCAAGTGAGGGTGATATATATCACTCTCATATGATGCTCGAGGATTCAGTTCAATTCATGATTTGAGAGCCTCACTCTGCTTGACGTTATATGATAAACCATTTGAATGACATTTACTACAAGCAGCCCGCATCTGGATATCATATAAGCGAGGCAGACGGCATTATATTGCTCTATGAACTTGTCCATATTGAGGATTCATGCTGACTCCAATCGTTCAGTACCTGTGAACATCTCTATCTCATTGACATATTAGTACGCGAATAGAGAGGGTCGCATTCTTTCAGTCAGTCGCTGCCATAGGATCCCATCCATGCGAGAATGTCTGTCCGGGAGAAGGGCCTGAACAATGAGATAAACCGCGAGTCCTGCCCACGACCGGGTGGGGACTCTCGGCCTGTATTCTTTTTTGATATTGATAACTGTGTATGTATAATATGCGAGGGAAGAGCAGCTCAGATTCAATATCATAATCGTCTTTTAATTTGTTATCTAGCTCGGAATATCAACTGACTATATATCTACGGTGGCGGTTCACAGCTCTATTCTAGAAGTAAGAACAAAATCCCCTTTAAAAACATGTCTTGGCCCGTTCAGTCATCATTATACATACTCGCATATACTGAGAATAAACCAGGTAATAAAATTCATGATTTAATGCATGACCTCATCGGTAAGTACCATCCCCAAACCTACCCATTTCATGCTCTATAGCCATAAATATTAACCGCCCATGCAGACACCTTCTTCATCCAACACCTCTCCCTCGACCCTGCAGACGCAACAATGCTCCACCAAAAATACTACAAAGAATACGGCCTAGCAATCGAAGGCCTAGCCCGCCACCACAAGATCGACCCACTCGAATTCAACAGCAAGGTGGACGACGCCTTGCCTCTCGACTCAATCCTAAAACCAGACCCACAGCTCCGTTCCCTTCTGCAGGACTTCGACACCACCAAGGCGAAACTGTGGCTGTTCACAAACGCCTACGTCACCCATGCCACGAGGGTGGTGAAGTTGCTAGGCGTGCAGGATTTGTTTGAAGGGATTACGTTTTGCGACTATGCGGCGTCCAAGTTGATGTGTAAGCCTGAGGCGGCGATGTATGAGAAGGCGGAGCGGGAGGCAGGGGCCACAGAGGAAGCGGGAAGTTATTTTATCGGTAGGTTTGATTAGATGCTTTTATTCTTTGTTGAGTATATGTTTATTCTGACATTCTTTCTTTATTTTTTTTTTCAAAGATGATTCTGCCTTGAATTGCAGACATGCACAGGCTCGCGGCTGGGAAACGGTTCATTTCGTGGAGCCACATATTACTCCACCGGAGACGCCAGTGTCGAAGTATCAAATTCGATACCTTGAGGAGCTTCGGGACATTTTCCCGCAGTTTTTCAGGTCTAGGAATGGTACGGGTTAGAAAGGGTTTCTAACTATTTCCTACGGTCATACATTTTGAAAAGAATATATTTCATTGTGCCTCTGTAGAGTTATATTAGACTCACGAGCACAGGTAGGATTATACAAAAGTATAGGGCATATTTTGAGATAATTTTGAGATATATCCATGAAAAGAATCAAGATATTTTATTCGTTTGGTTTGAAGTTCGGTGAAAATTCAAAATTATTCATATAGACGAAACGGGATGTATGGATGGGAATGTTCGCGTGATGAGTGATTACAGATTTTATACGGATAGTCCATTGAAGAGCATGCACCAAATCCAATTGAGTTCTCAAGGAAAGGGTATATAGAATAGAACAGAAAGGAAACTTGCATGTACAAATCAGAACTTGCTAACCAAATCTCTTTAACCTAAAAAAGTGATGAGCTAGATTTCATTAGAGAAGGAAGAAGGACAAATCAGTGATGAATCTCGATTTATTCTGTAGTACAGTCTGGATTCGGAAAGACAAGAGGCCTGGGATTCCCGAATGCATCACACGGATTGAAACGCCATGCACCTGCATACCGCCGCTCAAGAACGAATTTCGATAGGTACTTGACAAACGTCGGGACAGGTGGGTAGATGAGAGGTTTACCATCCAGAAGGAATGTGTTATCAATACAGCCCAACGTTAGTGGTGCATTTCTGTAAACTAAGTCAGCAAAGAAGGTCAATAGACATGATGGACGAAAGAAAACCATAGGAGAGACCCCAAAATATCATACCCGAATGGATCAACATGTTTCTGCGCATATTTAGAGGTAAGGTGCCACCAAGGCTCCAATTTTTTCGCATCATACTTTGCAAGATCCAGGAGCGTCGGGATCTCTTCCGTTAAATGCTTATGGAGCACTGGTCCTAGATCATGCAGGAGCCCCTGCAATTTTTTCCCGTCATACGACTTAGCATCAACCTGAAACACATATTCACGGAACTTCTCAAGGCTTTCCTCGAAGTCCTTGTGCTGTTGTATATTTCGGTCCATGATGTCTTGGATTCCAGTGAGTTTTACCAGTTCGGGAAACATGAAATCTTCCTCTATGCCGTGGTGGCTACGTATATTGTTATACAAGGTTTTGTTGTAGAAAATAAAGTCGGTCGCATCGACGGTGTCCGGTTTGATGGCGAGACACTGGTTGTACGAAGAGTTGAATGAGCGGATGATTACGTTGTGGAGGCTGGCCATGTTCTGGGCACAGGTAATTGCGAAATGGCCATCTGGGATATCAGAGCGTTCTTTGAACCGCGTCTCTGAGATTAATCTCAATGGCGTGTCGGCCCATGGTTTTGACATATTGGAGGTATCTAGAAGATAGAAGAATCAATAACTGCCAACAGTAAAAGTAAAGGATATCCGATATCCAGCGAAAACAACAAGAGTGACAAATAAGGTAGTAGACTTTACTGCTTTGCTATTCAAGAGTGAGCTTTCAGTCTCAGTCAGAAGATCCTGGCCAAGTTTACCAACGAGGTATATATAGAATTTACTTAAAGAAAAGCTTAACTGCAAGCTTGGGAGGGGGCGGAGGGGAGGATCTGTGGAGAACGGGATGGTGGACCTGCCCATTCGATGCAGGAAATATGTGATAAGAAGGCTGACATTTCTTGACAAAGGGAGGATTATTAGAGCTCACGCACCGATTCCGCGGACTTTAACATGAAGGATGCATGATGAGCTGGGCCAATCACATGGAAGACGTTTGCTTCCTCCTACATGGTTTCATTCGAGGAGGGGACCGGATGGTCTGGAGCGGTTCGTTCAAGGGAATTGCATGAGAACTTGTCGATAAAATTAACTTTGGCAGAGCAAGCGCTGGCAGATGCAGGTTGGAGGCATTGCCTGCTCCTATACTACAGTTCGTAACCGAAGAAAATGAGCCTCAATGGATAGTATCATGATTGGTCTTCTATCACGAGCTGAAGACGAAGCTGAAGAGGCGGTGAGTGGTTGAAGGAATGTATGCTGGGTCGAACAAGGTCGAACCTGATTTTTGATCGTGAAAGATACATCTTTCACAACTGAGCCTCTTCTCTTGATCCATTTCCTCTCTTCTCACAGGGTCGAATTACTTTGGTCGTTCATACGAAGATAAAAATAAAACCGACAGTGGTTTCTCTCTGGCTATGGTTGCCTGTAGAATTATACGAGGTGCTGAACCAGGCATGGTTAAGCAACTGAGCCATCAAATGGGGTTGAGTTGGGTTGGTATGCATGTCGAGCGCTCTAGAACAAACCTACCGAGATCGTGCGCTAGAAGTTAAAGAATGCATGAACTCGAAATCCACAATTTTCTTCTGCCACTCCATATGACATCGTGTTAAAAAAGGCTCTCTCCTCTGTATCTCATGCACTCCCCTCCCAATAGTGCTGCCTCGGGTTGAGTATGATAATTCATCTCCATTCCCTTCTCTGACTTCTGGTGTACATATGTTTAATTCTCATCCGTTTTTTTGCCATCCCCACAGTGTCGTAGCGGGCTTCATTTTAGCCCCCTGAGAATGGCCAACAGCTTTGCTATTCTGGTCAATTTTCCTGGTGTGCAATGGGATAAGGTGTGACCTGTTCTCAAGCTGTTACCGGGCCAGCAGATAACTTGGGCCTCTTCAGACACGGGAATTCTACGATCTTGTACCGTGAATGTCACCAGTTGGGCGATGGTTGCCCTGCTTTCAAAATGCACATGACTAGCCACATCTGAAAGATGACAGGACACAAGGAGAGGTGGGAAGGTTTTCGAAGAGGAGGCATTCTTTGCTGATTCCAGATATTTTATCCGGACCTCGACGAATCCCATAAAGAATGCCTGAAGATGTTTTCCCTTGGGGATACTGGCCAGGTACCAATCTCTAGACCGATATAACTCGGAAATGTGGTGAAAAAACTCAACCTCCCTTCCAACTGTTTCTAGATAAGCTGGGAAAGACTATTTGAGATGATTACGAAGAGGCAACTCAGGAAGAGATGGGTAACTAGCCGTTCCTTGGGTCTCTGTGTCAACTGACAGCTACGGACTGCTGCCAACTCGTCTCAGTGTCTGCCCTAGTCGATTTTGCCATCCTCCGGTCACATCTGTCAGACCTCTGCATCCTGGAAGGCTTGATTTTGGCGGACCATAAGAATGTCTGCTCGGTATTTATAATTTTCCTTTCTTGTATTAAACTTGATTGGAATCCGAAATTTTGGCAGGTAGTTGAATAGTCTCCATTTTCCTGTGAATGTAGAAGCGGAAGATCTCATAAAATAAAATGGAATCCGAGTCTCATCATGTAGACGAGGTGTTCCCGGGAACAATTTGGAAAGTATTTTGAGACTCAAAAGATTTCAAAGTTGCCTTTTGAACACAGTTTCCAAATTATTGTTACATGAAGAGGGTGAGATCCCACTAGGTCGCAAGGTTTTGATGGTGATGTAGAGACTAGGAGTCTCTGAAGATATCAGTCATACATGTAGTTGCCATGTGAGAGCAAAGCCAGTCCGGTCGGTAACATGTCCTGTAGTAGGCCTTGGAGAACGGGCCACGAGTAACATAATATCATCTCATGTTGATGAAGTGAAGGCTGTTTTGAGGTTGGAGAGCGAAAGAGCGAGATATCGTCGGTCGGATGTTTGTCTTGTTTGTCTTGTTTTGTTGTCACGGTTCCACGTTAGTCTGCTTATTAAGGGATTAGTGAACTAACTAACAAACGAGCTACAACAAACATCTATGGATGGAACTACGGAGTTCAACCTCCAACAACGCCCATAGTACTATAGAGACAGCCTGCCGGGAACAGGACGTTTCAGCTGTTCGGGCCAATCCTCCTCCGCATTCCCTTCTGATGCACAGTCCGAAGTCTCGTCTGAAAAATGGGTGATCTTTCTCCAGGCCAGCTTGTCACTCTGGCTGATGACAGACAGGCCGTGATCCGCTTCATAGGGGCTACCAGCTTCGCCCCTGGAGATTGGGTTGGTGTGGAATTGAGTGAGCCAACGGGGAAGAATGACGGATCTGTTCAGGGAGAACGATACTTCGACTGCGAACATGGTTTCGGAATGTTCGTCAGGCCCGCTGCGGTTGCAGCTATTTTGGAGCAGCCCAAAAGGGAAGAGCGGAAGCCAGCACCGAAAGGAGGGTTAAATGAAGTGCCCCAGAGAGGGAGACCGCCCAGTGGCCTCGGGGCAAAGAGGCAAAGCGGGATTGGGTCAACTGCTGTTAGAAAACAGAGTACTACTTTGAGCCCTTCCCCTGCTCCTAGAGCAGGAGCATCTCCTCGACTTCCCAGAGTATGGAACCCACAATTTGATATCTCATGGTCGTGGTCTAACGTTGTTTGCAGTCTCCTACAAAATCGCCTACAAAACAGTTGTCAGCATCCTCGCGACCAGCGACCACAACGACACGGTCGCCCGCCGCCGCGGGTCTGAAACCCAGACAGAGCTTGAGCAGCCGTAGCTCAATGGCCATTCCTCCTACAACCACAGCTTTCAAGGGCCCCCGACAATCAGTGGAAGGGCCAACGATCAAGTCTTCTAGTCCACTTTCTCAGCCACCACTCCCTACCATAAAGTCTCCGCAAAAACGTTTTTCACTGAGACCTACACCCACCAAGACATCAACCCTTGAGAAAATTGAGAGCGCAACAAGTGAATTGAGTGAGGAAACTGGAGACAGTGGATACTCGAATTCGCCCCCCGAATCGAGCAGACCGACCCCGGCACCGCAAGCCTCTCTAGGCCCATCACCGCACCGATCCGTTTCCGGGACGAATCCTGTGCTTAAGGAGGTGGAAGATCTTAAGACTAAGCTGAGGGTCATGGAGAAAAAGCGGGTGGAAGATCGGGAGAAGCTCAAGTCGTTAGAAACATTGCGATCGGAAAGAGATAAATTCGAGAGTATCATTCAAATACTACAAACAAAATACCAACCACAGCAACAAGAGATTGCACAGCTACGGAAACAGCTAAAGGATGCTGAGGCTAGAGTTGAGGAGGCGGAACGTCTTCAAGATGAACATGATTCTATCGTTGAAATGGCTGCCCTGGATCGCGAAATGGCCGAGGAAATGTGCGAGGCTATCAAAACTGAGTATGAAGCGTTGAAAGTGAAATCAGAGGAGCTGGAACTAGAAGTCGAGGTGCTTAGGGAGGAAAATCAGGAGCTAGGTCAGGTTATGAGTCCAGAGGAAAAGTCAAGCCAGGGCTGGCTCCAGATGGAACGGACGAATGAAAGGCTTCGCGAAGCCCTCATACGCCTCCGTGATATGACGCAACAACAGGAGGCCGATTTGCGTAACCAGATCAAAGAACTGGAGGGGGAGCTGGAGGATTTCACTACCATCAAAGCCAACTACGAGATAGCAAAGGAACAGCTTTTAATTTCTGAAGCCAATATGGAGGATTTGAAGCAGCAAGTTGAAGCTCTTGGAGCTGAAGAGATGATTGAGGAACTGGCCGAAAAGAATATGCAATATCAAGAACAAGTAAATGAGCTGAAAGCGGTGATTGAAGATCTTGAAAGCCTGAAAGAAATTAGTGATGAGCTAGAGCATAACCACATTGAGACGGAAAAGCAACTCCAAGAGGAAATCGACTTCAGGGAGAGTGTCTATCTTGAACAAGGGCGAAGAATTGCTCAGCAGGAGGAGGTTATAGAGGACCTGGGCTATACCTTATCCAAATTTCGAGAGCTGGTCACTAATTTACAGAGTGACCTCGAGGACATGCGAGTATCACAGCAACTTACAGAAACGGAGTCGACAGAGCTAACCGCACGGTCAAGAGCGATGATGGACCTGAACATGAAACTCCAAGCCTCCGTATCAAAAGCTCAGATGAAAACGATTGAGGTGGAACTAGGCCGTATGGCAGCTGAAGAATCTGCGCAGCATTTGGAGATTATGAAACTTTACCTTCCGGAATACTTTGAGAGCGAACGGAACCCAATTCTTGCTCTCCTACGGTTTAAGAGAGTTGGTTTCAAGGCATCTCTCATGAGCACCACAGTACGGGAAAAAATACCCGATGCGACTTCCACGACCTCTGGTGATCATAATGTCTTTACGGCATATGAAGTCCTTGAGAAGTTAACATGGATAGCCTCCCTTTGTGACAGGTTTATTAATTTTATCAGCAGCTGTTCAAACGAGGAGTTCTCCACTTTTGAAGGAGCTTTGTACGAACTGGAGCCCGTGGAACGTACGCTTAATTCCTGGATTGAGGGGTTGAAGAAAAATGAACTGAACGAAAAGATATGCGCTGTTGAGCTTCAAAGATCAATCGCATTACTCTCTCATCTTGCCGAAACACTCATTCCATCCAATCTGGAATCGTATGCTGATGAAATTTACATGCGTTCGGTCATGACACAGACTTATCTAGAATATGCAGCGTTATCCTTTTCTCAGTTGAGAACTACGCTGCAAGCGAAGCTTCCACCGCTAAGCGATGAGGATGAGGAGGCACCTTTCCTGTATCAAAAAATCGACGCCTTGGGTAATCAAACCCGAAGCGGGAAGATAGTAGCCGGCAAAATCACCCGGTATTTGGATGATTTAAAATCAAGATGTCTTGCATTGACTGGCGACTTTGCAGACCACTTTGAGAAGTGCGAGGGAGCTGCTAGGGAGGTCGCCGAGCTTGCAAGACAGCTTGGAGAAAATATTGTGCTACTGGCGGGAGAGGAAGGGCGGACAGAGCCAATTACGTATGCAGAAGTTGCTGCAAATATGTCACGGACGGTTATGTTTCTTTTCCAACGATCTGCTGCTTCTGCGGAATCTGACGATAATAACCCTCTATCCATTGCTGCCAATAAACTACGTATTTTGGGAGCGTATCTCGAAGAGGCCTCCGATGCCTCGTCCGACCTAAGCCAAACTGTTGAGTTTGAACGTCACCCCGCTCCTTGGACTATCCGTGCGAAAGAGCTCAAATCGAACAAAGTTATTTCTCCAGATGCAGACGAGGAGATTCGGCGTCTGAAAAATGAAATCCACGAAACATCCACTGCACTTGGCGCTAAAGACAAGGCTTTCGAGGAGCAAACAATCAAGATTGAGCATCTTGAATCGAGAATGCGCGACGCCGGAAAGAAGGCTGCATTGGTTAAGGAACTCGAATCCAAATTCGATACGTTGCAAGCCAAAGAACAAGAATTAATGGATATTGTCGAGAAGCAGTCAGCTGACCTGCAAAATATGGAACGGGAGAGAGATGACTACAGAGCTCGACTAGAAAAAGCGAAACGAGCTTCGGGATCTTCTGGCGCTTTGCTTGGGGCAGATGGCGTATTAACTATCGATGCCGCCGCTTCTTCAGCAGTAATGAGAGAAAACGAATCGCTACGTGCAGAGGTTGCAAACTTGCAAGCGGCTGTCCGCTTCTTGCGCGAAGACAACCGCCGCGCAAATTATATGGATCCTTATTCTGTACAACGAACAAATCACATGCGTGCCTGGCTTGATACTCCTCTCGTTCATCCCAAGATTGCTGCTGATGACAAGCGGGCGATTTATAATGCCGCATCTGAATGCCAGGATGTACTCACGCATCTTCTGAAGCTAACTAAAGAGTCTAAGCTCGTGGATCTCAAATCCACTCTACCCGCTGATGAAGCAAGTCGTCTTTCCTGGAGGCCAGTTAAGTCGACAACTAGATACCAAGTTCTTCGTCAGCGAGAGGAATACGAACAGTGGACTCAATGGAAAGACGAAGTCGCGCGGCGTGAGCGTGCCCGGGCGCGGAAGGAGGCCAAAGCCATCAGGAAGCATTTCCGCTATCCGGATCCAACGGGGGTGGCCGCTGAAGTTTCATTTCCTCCGACGTCTGGCTCTCGAGGGGCAGAGTCTTTCAGCGATGCTAGAGAGCAGACTGCTACAACTAAGAGTCGAGGGATGATGGACCGGGCTTGGAAAATCTTGGGGATGCAGAGAGATTTCGATTCGAATGATGGTTCCGAATATGGTGATCCTGAAGAAGTCACTATCGTCAATGCTTAAAGAAAGATACATCTTTTTTCTTTTATGGCCTAGGCAAATCAACATATTTCGCTTTGGAGTCATTCAAATCCGACTCCTTCGCATCCACAGGGTGGTCTTTACGCCGCCCCGCAAGTTCCCTTTATTTCCACCCTGAGATGCTGCATCTGACTACATTTCATTTGCATTTTTTTCCGCTGGTATATTGAACAATAAATTGGCCTTGGGCTGTGTCTTCCTAGTTCTTTCCTCCCTTCTTAACATAACATGTGATTTGGATGCTTCCATCCATATTGATTTCCTTTTCTTCGCCTCCCTTTCCATATACAATGAAGAAAACCCAACAGTACTTGCAGATGCACATGATGGGTGCGTTGCTTGCTTGCTTCCCTCCTTTACCGTATAGACCTACGTTGCTCCCTGCCGGTTCCTTTCCATTGCTCCCGCTGTCTACATTTGTGTGTAAGATACCCGTTCCAGATTTTCTTTAGATTGTTTTCGGCGCTTGTCTTCGTTCCTGTTCTCCAAGCTTAATTTTGTACTTTATTTTGCTCGTTGTGTATTGTTTTCTTTGTCCTTTGGACTCTGGGTGGTTGCAGTTTTGATGATGTATCACTTTTATAGGGAGGAGAGAGTTGATAATTATAAACGGAGGATTTTATATACAGTTGATATCAGGGGATGTTACTATTAAATATTGACTCTAGACACAGGAGGTCAGCGATTTTAGAGGCACGTTTTTTAGCCCTACACACACACACTCTCTCTCTCTACCTCTATGTACACTGAATTTTTGGCTGCCATGCAGCTAGTGCATCCAAAATCCAACAATGAAGTATTCCCACTGACAAAAAACCAAAAGGGGTATGATTAAATGGCTAGGTACCTAGTCTTTCAAGGGGTGAAGTGATTTACAACACACATCCTTGCTAAGAAAGAGAGAAAAAAGAAGAAAAGGAACAGCCTCCACACACTGCTTCCGTCACCAGTCCCAATACAAAGATTACCTCTGAATCCATCGACAAAGACACCAAGTCAGAGCCAATTACAATAACCAAAGGTTATCGTTGAGAATCCCTTCAAATAGCACGGTTCGCTCCAGTGGTGGAAGGAATATTAGCTGGGTAGCCCGGCTGTGGGCTGTTGTCCGTATATACATGTAAATCTGAAAGTTTGGGCTGTAGTCTCTACAACGCACAACGTGAAACGGGAAGTGAGCAGAGGGAGGCGGGAAATTTCCGGAACAAAACAGTGTGTGTATGTTAGAGGGAGAAGTATCTCGATGGAAACTTGGGTTGGGGGTCGTGTTTGTTAAAGGAGACGTTTTTGGTAAGGGAGTGAAAAAAGCCGTTCTCTCTACCTTGAGGTTGACAGTCGCACACCCCCAAAGCTCAAAGTTTTATATATATGGTCGGTTAAGCTTCGGAGGATGGAAACTCAACCTTGTAATGAATTTGCTATAGATAAGAAGGGGGGTAGAAAAAAAAAGGTAAGGGGATTTAAAAGGCGAATCTAAAATTTTCCGGCGCGATATCATTTTGAAACAGATGCGGCTGACAATGGTGGTAATCAGCTTCGTATACAGTGGGGCACAGCTCCTCAAAACGCGAAACGGACGCCTTGTTGTTGCTGTTGGCCATGTGGGAGGTTGTTGGCACCATGGACTCAAATTCCTTGTCCAGCGTCCCAAGTATAGACGGTGGGGCAGGGACAGTTGCCGCCGTTATGGCGCTGGAGAGTGATGGAGTACGTCCTGTGCCAGCCATCGTGGACATGGTGGCTGATGAAATGGTCGAATTGCTCAGGGTACGGGAATGGGAGGTGGAATGGCTTGTGGGCTGCGGGCGTGTGGGGAAGGGGACCCAGGCGTTCTGGGTTGTTGCGTTGGGATGATGGGCTGGTGGCTTGGGGAAGAGCCACTGAGTTACCTTTTGAGAGCGAGGGAATTTCGGATCGGAACTGAGGTTGAGATGGTGGGAGGAGTTGAGGTCTGATAGCGGTGTTAATTGCGCTTCATTTGTGAGATCAATTGACGGTTTCTGATAAAAGCTCATTGGATCACTTGTCGTTCGGTTATGTTGAGGAGTTCTATTAGAATGAACATGGTGTGCTGCGCTCCGAGGAGCAGGGTCGAGAATAGAACTCTGTAACGTAGGTCGACGGTCATACGCCTCGATGCGGCTGCCGATCGATAGTGATAGGTTCTTTGTGGAACCCACTGGTTTTCGAGGGACTTTGAACGGCAACATGGAACTCTCAGGTGCGAAGAAGGTTTCGGTAGGCAATAATACCTTTGGCAGAGGCTTGGAAGGGAGTATCTCGAGTTTGTCAGGGGTTGGTATGTCGAAGGCCTCGAATTCTGGTAGATCTGAAAGCCTATTTCCTGGCTGATAAATACTGAGTTCCAGGGGGCGGAAGGGTTCAAGACGAGATCGCATGCCATTAACTCGTCTGAAATCCGACGGTTCACTGATCGTTGGCTTGAGGGAGACACGTTTGCTGGACTTTTTTCTACTCGAGAGGCTTGCTCGATCTGTTGCTTTCAATGCGAGGGACCGGCCCTCAGCAATCCATTGGGATATGGTAGACGTACGAGTCCCATCAGGACTTGGTAGTTCGCCATAGAACACCAGCTTCATTGGCGGCACCAGGTGAGGTTGGTCATGACATATTTTCATTTCTCTCTCGACTCCTATTGTGCAACGTCAAATTAACCTGAGCGTCCTGAACAAACGGCTGACGACAAAAGACGCGAAATGCATCCCACTCACCCAGATCTTGAGTTGGACGGTGATGTTGATGAGCCTGCTCATCATCACGACGCCAGATACACGAGAAACAAGATGCGAACCATGGCCTTAGAACCGAGCCTGCTCGCTCCATTGACGATATTATCATAACTGGGTCACTCTCATGGCAGCTGAGGCTGCAGGGAGACAAAACGAGCCTCTGATGGAGTGTGGTACCGAGATAGAGGGCCTGTGGCTGCGAGAGCCATCACTATTATATATAGGACTGGAAGATCTCAGTTCATTCCTGGCGTGTGGGTGCATGGGTGACCGACGAGGGAGGGGGATGATGGCCCAGGACCTGCTGCAAGGGATGAATGTCAGCGCTGCAGGTTCTTACGCTGTCATTACTGGATCCTCTCGTCGATCAACATGTCTAGTGCCAATTATGCCCTTTTTAGTGCTATCTCGACATCACAGAACCGTTCTTCAGTGGCCGGTGATGTTAAGCCAGCCAATAGGGTCTGTTAACATTAATGTGGGAGGTCATGCTTGAAGCCCAGAATCCTGCCATCTCCCCCTCCTTTGGTGCTTCGACCAGATGTGGAAAGTCGATGCCGATTCGTTGACAGAGGATGTCGAGAGAAATCACGGCGCCCATCGTTAGTGATGTGCTTCATGAAAGCTCTGTTGATAGGTTCTCGTGCGCCTGCATTTGTTCCCCAGTTCAGAGTTTGGAGTCCAGTCTCTCGGCGCTTAGAGATTGGCCCTGCTCGTTCCAGGACCGTGGTGCAGACAGGCTTTAGCATCCCTGCTCAGGACAAACGAAACTGATTCGGTTTTGTCAGAAACAACCTTGTGGCAGGCCTTTGCCAAGTCTGGTTGGTCAGAAGAATCCGGAGATATTGTTAAATTAACTTGCGACGAGTAAAATTGATGTGGATACAGAGAGGAATCCATCCCCGGAAGGCTAAACTATATATAACTATCTCCCAAATCTCCAACCTGTTTGTCTCTGGAAATGGTCGCCAGTTCTCTACAATCGGTAGAATGAATCCACACCGGCAGTCTCTCTCTTACGTTGAGTACGAGCAATGGAGCCAGCGCCGTCTAGATGAATTTTGAGAGACCCTATATACGGAGATTTAGTATGTAGCTAATGAATTGGAAGCGAAGAATTCCCTACGCTTTAACTAATCCAATTTCTCCAGTGCCAAACTTCATCTGCACAATTAACTGCTAGTTACTAACTACATATCTATCCGTGCCTTGTTCAGACTTCCTGGTCCCTGTTCATCATTGCTGACACAATGGAGCCATCAGCTTCAACCACAGTAATGTCTTCCAGGCGCGGACTGGTTATACAAGTGAGAGCATCCCCCTATTCTTTTTTTGAAGACAGAGTTGAGTGATGAAAAAAGACTTAGATTCTAATCTGAAAGAATCTGATGCGTTGCCGGCTTGTTTTGATCTGGTCTGAAGACTCCATCATATGGACATGTGTTTCAGTAGAGCATGCTCCCTGTGTAGGGATATATCAAGGGGTCAATCTTTCTCAACGGCTGGAAGGTTATGTATGTTTTATGTAGCATGACTGACATTTCGTCCTCCTGGCTATATCGGGAGAATGATGGTAGGTCGATCAGATTTCAGGTTCTGGTAACTCTGTTACGGGCATTTGATCGGATGTAGCCCAAGATCTTTCTGTTTCCTCATGCAACACCTCCAACCCTCGATTCGCACACGCATGTCTTGAAAGAATAAATGTACCCCAAGACCCAAGCAGAGGAAATGTCGGTGTTATAACTTGAACCCCTAAGTCATGCTTCTGTAATAAGTAGTTAGCAGGTCACTAACTACCTGCTAACTTGGTTATTTCAAATCCATATCCCTACCAACATATCAATGTATGTCTCTGAAGACCTGGCCTCACAGGGCTCCGATACCCATGGCCCGTAATCGGCCAGAACACCTGAAATCCTTGGAGATGATGCCAGGGCATCTTTCCAGCCTTATAGCCATTGAAGCTCTCACGAACAACGAGCCAGGAGCCATGGGCCATGGGCCACAGACCAGGAGGTGGAAGTCCTCCAATTTCCATTCTTCGTGGAAGCGCAATCAATCTGACGATATGAAACTCGATCCTGTTCGGGAGAGCCTTCACCAGACACTTGGCGTCCGAATCAGGTTGGCACAAGGGCCAGGAAGAACGGGTGTTCAGCGGACTATATATTTAGAGCATGGAGAAATCACCAGGAGCTGTAAAGGTTCCCTTGGATGTTGAAAAGGGGGGGGGGGGGGGTGGTTCTCGATCTGTTACTGTAACTTCCACTTCACGCAGCTTTTGCTAGGGTATCTTGAGCATATCTATTGCAAATTGGCGATTTATTCCCTTATCTTTTATTTTTATTATTTCTATATATCAAACCAATGCTGTGGGTTGACGAAACTGTCTATCGTTGAGTTGTTTTTCCACCCACAGATTTGTCATGGGTTATATTTTGTACACGGTGGTTCTCTGATGCATTTGATCCTCTTTTCTTGGGTAGTACGGGCGGAGTGTCCAAGCCCTTGTTGGTAAGAGAGTCCGTTAGAGCTACCAGAGGAAAACAAGCTGTCACGATAGATGGAGACCCCCTGTCGTGATACTGGGCTCTGGGCTCTTGGAGAGTTAATATTATTCTAGCGAGGATGCAGCGAGGCGTGTCAATGTGGTGAGATTGAAAATAGTTTCCGCAAGCTCACCACAAGGATTGCTGTGTTTCTGGCCGTTGATGTGACAGCGATATTAATTTCGACAGCTGTCAGAGAACTGAGGTAGATGTATTATAATAAGATATTCTCTCGCCATCAACTATTCGGAAATGATAGCATTACTCCTAGCAGAAACGCCCCTGTAAGTATGTCGAAATAGCATCCCAACTGCCGTGATTCAGAGGCGGCATACTATCCAGTAAGGTACATAAGCTCGGGCTGTGATACGAGCACACATTTTACGGGGAAAATGTTGCTTGCCTTCCATGCAAGAGGCAGGTTGGGAAGCAAAGCAGGATCTACCTCTAAGCATGTATGAAACGTGCGACTTCATTGCTGGAATGTATACAGGCTTGTGACTGGACTGAATACCGTGTTCGGAGTGGTAGCTAGTTAACTACCCATCGGCAGAAATAAGCAGTTATTACAGAGGACATTATTTCTTGCCTGCTGTCATGGCAAGGTCCTGTGGCGGGTAAGCCTCAGGCGGGCTGAGAATCCACTTCATAGCATTGACATGATTATGTTCATGTCGTAATTATTCTTGCTGAAAGTGTATGCAGCCCTCAGCGTGAAAATGAGCTTTGGAAGCTTGTCCGACCGGTTGCAGGCGATAACAGTCGTGATTTGCGGCTGGGGGAAGAAAGGTGGGGTAAGAGAGGATAAAAATTCATTCAGTCAAGGGAGGGGGCGCATCCTTGTATCTCAGCCCCGCTCTATTATAGTCTTTGCTTCCCACGAATCCAGATCATCTCATTTATCTGGCGGCCCTGATAGAAGTGACTGTAGAGAGTTTGCTTTCAGAAGATAACCCCTGCGATTCTCTTGCTAGATTGGATCGAGTGGGCTTGAGTGATCCCAAAGCACACGGCGCGCCAGTCACGATGACGGTTGTTGGGAGACTGCGGCGGCGGGCATCAACTATAAATCTGCAAAATCTGCACCGATCTGCCAGAAGAATAGGCCACGAAACCCAGCACGAGAGTCAGAAAGGGCGTCAAGGGAAAGGTATTGGGGGGGGAGGGGGGAAAGGGGGTATCGGGGCTGCCTTTGTATTATCAACACCAAGGAGGGAAGGTTAGGATTGGGTTTAGGATTAAGCTTAGTCAAAGATAAAGGTTTGTTGAATTGCTTAAACCTGTGAAACGACAATCGCTGGGAATCAGTCGAGCTGTCTCCGGTAAAAGATATCTCCTTGCAGCTATGGATGTCTGTATCGCAGGAAAGAAGTACAACTAAAATCCGCCATACGGCCAGTCAACTTCCCGCGGGTATATGGATGTTAGTATTTCCACAGTTAAAAGTGGATGGCTGATTGTCTGGCCATTATGAAAATGAAGGTTGATGTTGATGGTCTGGAGGTTGAGAAAGATTGAATGATCTCAAACAATAGTTGAACAGTTGATAGTATAAGTAGTTATGTGAAACTCATGTAAAGCCGAATTAACCTACAATAGTTATATATTTAGCCAGCCCGCCTTCTTATCTAGTTCTCAACTAGAAAGCGACTCCGCCCTCAAACAACCAAAGAAAAAAAAAAATGACGGTAAATGTCCTGCGTTCGTATCTCATATTCATACCAACAGTTCACTTATTTTGCCCTCTTTCTGCCTTTCCCCTTCACTTTTTTGTTTCTCTTTCCGCCTTTCTTCTCTATTCCAACAACGGGCGGCGTGGCAGCATATCGCAAATTTCCCTAGAAGTCTTTCTGTTCTCCTCTTTCAAAGTATTTCTCTCTTGGTATCGCGCGTTGGATCAACTATTGAAATGTTGGCTGTGCCTATCGCGTATGGATCTCGCCATCTTGCTCGACGTGGAGGTGTTCATTTGTTTGAAGGACCTTGATTTGGTCGTCTGGGTACTCGACACTACGCCCCGTCCGGAGATGTTAACCAGCTGCACATTGAGGAGGAGCTGGGGTGGTGGGTGCGGGGATTAAGCATGTAATGTAGGCACATTACATCATACAACAACATTTTGGATAAGTGTAAGTATAAAACGAACGTACATGAATCCTTTGATTAAAGAAAATTTAAACCTTATGGTTCCGCCGTCCTTTTCTGCTTGTTCCATGGCCCTGGTGGTTTGCGGAAGGGTATGTGAGCTTCGCGATTTGGAGTACAGGGAGACATAGATGGGGTATGTGCTGAAGGAGGATAATGGGGGTAACTATGTCACGCATGTATGTTAAGTAGGAGTGAATGCATGTACCTTTCCAACTCCCCTGGTGGAGCATCCTTTTTCAGAGTAACCTTTTACACGCAAAGGGGAAGGTGTTAGCTGTAGCAATCATGGAGAGAGGAGGGTTCTTGGTATTACTGACGTTGAATAGCATGGTGGGAAATGAAGATATTTGCTGGTGGCGGGAATGGCGTGACACTGGCAGTGAGGGGGAGTGATCGCTGCAGCAATGAGGTTTGATATTTATTTCACTTGGGTAAGGTGAGGAGGGCTAAAGAAAAGAGAGATCTGAACAAGGGCGAAAAGAGAGGGGGGGTATATGCGGTTTTAAATAGATGTCTCCACACTACGAGGTGGGGTGCTTCATGGGAAACAAGCCGCAATCGTGTTGTCATGGAGCAGTGGAGTGTGGGGGATTGGTTCGGCCGCAGAGTAAGCTAATAGCTGACGGGGAAAACGTTATCAATACCCCCCGTTGTCTGTAGCTCGATTATTACTCATGGATACCTTCAGATGTCATAAACCGGTATTTTCAATGGGCAGCGGGCTCTTAGCCCGGGCCATTCATTACACATGACAAGTAATATGTCACGTCATCTCACAACCAACTACAGAGTATGCAGCAACTATTAATTAATTAGGTTTCGTGGATGATTAAGGTGTCTGGCCATGTTACAGCCAACACATGCCTCTGCGGGTTGGCTAACTAACCTATAATTTCTCAACCAACCGTATTACTCTACAGGTTAAAAGAATGCATATGACAAAGAATGGAACATCTTAAAATCTGAGATACTAACTGAACTGAGCAATGGAAATGTGCAGATTAAAATGGAAGAAACAAAAAAAAAAAAAAAAAAAAAAAAAAAAACCAACAAAGTTATAAAGAAATTACTAGAAAAACTAAATCTTGAAAAATCTCTCAGTAAATATACACTTAACTTTATTATTAAACTATTAAGAGATTAGTAGAGAACTTACGAAATATTCCTGATTTTACGAAAATCTGAACTGTCATCCTCTGTATCATTTGATAATACTTAGTTAATTAATAAACAGTTGTAAAATATAAAAGATCTACTCACTCACTCACTACTACTTAAATAATTTCTTTTGCTACTCTAAACGTTCAGACGGTGGAAGCCGAATGGCCGCATGTCGACTAGCTCGACGGCCGCTTTAGGCCCACGATTACCGATACCGCCACGCGCCACGCACGCTGAGCCCCCCGCTCTGCAGCCGAATTCACACAACCACGCACCCAGCAAAGAGGGTGGTGGCGCTTGCGGACGACGAACACCCTCCGGAGCATTATATGGAAATGGTGACCCGACTTGAACAGGTCCCTACTCCGATACAATGAACTCTAAAATGAATACGCACTGAGGCTGCTCGACCGACCCGCATCGAGCAGGAGTGGATCAGGTGAGTGTCTGTCGCATCCCCCCCGGGGGGGGGGTATTATCTTTCTCCCAGTTCCTCATATGCAGATTCTTGCGCCTGCGTCAAATGGGAACCCAAGGAGACGCACTAGTAGATGGACGTACAGAATGCTGTACATGTTCTTCAGCGGGGTGCTGAATCAGCATCGCGGCAAGGGTAGGAGATGACGCCAGGGCTCAACTACCAGAGCATCCCTGGACATGTATTGGAAGGTCGTCCGTCTGGTCTACAAGAGGGAGCTGCCGGAGAAGATCGACGGGGAGACGTCAGCGAGGGTGATCAATAATGTATGCAATCACCCGTTCCCATGTAACAACACCCACCCCCCCCCCCCGGCCCCCCAACCTCTCCTTCTCGGCGCCTGGACAAATCCGGTCCTGCTCGTGGTCAAGGTGATCCCAAAACTGGCGAAGCTGTATCATCTCAAGAAGGGGTGCCGGAAAAAGTCAGTCGTCTATCTGAGTAATCCTGTCAAGGTCGTCAAGTAAGCCATTTGGCTCCTGTCTCATTCTTGGTCCAACCGTTAGGGGATCATAGCACTCGCTGCTAGTAACAACCTTGATAGTTGCACAGAGTCTCAATGCAAAGCCAGTCTTATCAAAGTTGTAGATATCTTCAGATCCAATCCCATGCTCAGTTTTTATATCCTCTTAAGGCATTATACCTATTGCGGGATGAAGGTTGTGGACTATTCTTCAATAAACACAAAACAACGCTGGGGAGCCGGAAAGGGAAAAGGTATAGCAAGTTTTGGTAACTGGCAGAAGAAAGCTGAATTTGGATTTCGAAGTACTCTACAGAGAGTGGAATATATATTCAGAGAGGGTACATAAATGCAGAGGAGTATTGAAACCAGTCCAGCCTTTCCTGGCCCGACCGAGTTCCTGTTGCAACTCCACGCCTGCGCCTTTCCCGTCTTTCCTACTCCTCCCTCCCGGCTCCTTGTGGTGTTCACGCATCGCAAGTTGATCGTAATTCTATCCTTTCTCCCATACGTTCGTTCGTTATCTGCTATTCGACCCCATCCAGCCAGTTCAATGATCCCTCCCCAACGCATGAAAAACATAACACAAGAAACCGTGAAAGAAATGCGTTTATGTGGTAGGGTTTGGGTTCATCTGGAAGGTGTAAAAGTTGCGCGTTAGTTGGGGGGTCCCTTGAATATTGGCTCTGGGCAGATGTCCTCATCTCTTCTCCAGACTGGGGGAGATTAAAGATGTGAAACAAAACGCACCTTCCGCTTTCCACCGGTCAACGTGACATTAACAAATCGTCTGGTGTATTGCAGGCGCTTCTTGGCGCGACCCTTGGGGGTCTTCTTCTTCTCTTGAGGCTCGACCTATACAGTTCATAAAATCTCCCATGTCAGCCAAAACTGGGTCTGGTCCGGGGTTACCCTTCCGCATATTTTCCATATTTTCGATGCATCTCTCATCCCCGTATACCTCGACCTATCCCAGAGGCCGCCAAACAATAGATTTCTGGCCGTGAGATGGGAGAAGACGGGCTCAAGACAAAGGTGGAATAAAAAGCGAACTGACCTTGGGGGTCTGAGACTTGACTTTTCCCGCACGGGCAAGGGATCCGTGAACTTTACCCATGATGTGTGATAGACGATGGGAATGAGCTTTCGAAGGATGTCGTCGACGAGGAGTTAGATGACTGTGCGGAGGCTGAAGGTGAAGAGGTTGATTGACTTGTTAGCTTTTGCTCCTGTTGCCCGCCGTATTAAGCGAAAAGTGGTAAAGCAGGGGCGAAAAACAATTGGAATTTTTTAGACTCTTTTGCTGTCGCAAATTTCAACAGGGAAACGAACTGGAGAACACGTACTTACAGTTGCCTTGAATATAGTCCTTTTGTCGCCGTCGTCGTTACCAATCCACTCAGCGATATCTGTGACTCGTTATGGCAGACACTCAAATTTAGCGAGCGCCAAGTCACGTGTCTTAATCAGATTAGGGCATTCTAAGGTTTGCCCTATTGCCTATTTAGGAGTAGAGCCCTATAGACGAACGTCGCAAGGGCATGTTTAAGGCATTGATAATCTGATGAAGAGAGTGTACATACGTGCAGCACCAGCACCGTCCTAGTTTCTAAATAAACTTGACAAGAGTGCACAGTTTATGGACATGGGGCTTCCATCCTGAATTAATTCACCATTAGTAATGATGGTGCATTACAGTCCAATCTACAAGGCTATGATCAAGGCTAGGATCATGGCCAAAAGAGCGCCATTCTAAATATCCCCTTCAAATGCATACCCATCTGAGGATACTCATCAAAAGATTCTTCTTTGAAACCACCCGGTCGAGGTTGATGGATTTCAGGTGAGAGAAACAGAGTGAAAAATCTGCGAAACCGAGCTCGTTTGTTGGCTAGACCACAGACATTAAAAACCGCAAAAGAAATTCATTTGCAAAGAAAATCATTCCCCAAACCTCCCATAGTACAAGACCGTATGTGTGTGTGTGTGTGTGTGTGTGTGTGTGTGTGTGTGTCCTGCAGTTCCGATTTAAAAGACAAATATCCCAGTAGTTTAATCATGAGAGGCTCCAACACCGATTTTCACTTGCACCCTTCATTCCATCCTCCAACCACCACCCAAAGCACACTACCGATCCCAATTTAACGGGACTTGGCAGCAACCTTGGGTGGTGCACCTTTGGCACCCTGCTTGCTCTGGATTCTGCTGGCCTGACCTCTGGCAGCGCCGGCAGCGCTCTTAGCCTTCTCAGCTCTCTTCCTGCTCTCCGCAGCGGACTTCTTCTCCTTTCCCTCCTTAATGGCTTGCTGGCGAGCAGCGAGACGGGCTTCGGGGCGCATGCTCCTTCGTTCCTTGATGACGTCTAGGGAGGCACCGACAATCGCACGCTGGGACTTAACAGCTCGTCGAGTGCGCTTCTTGGCAACTTCCTATAGTCGAGGGTAAGAACATTACCAAGGTTAGCCGCATTCCTATTCCCCATCATCTAACTGCACTTTCTTGTCTCATATAATCGTTTTCGTCTTCATGTTACAGGCCATGCCAGCGATCACCCTCTCTTCGCTTTGGTACATGTATTCCACGAAACTTCAACTTCTCGAAATATAACGGAAAAGGACAGAATGTCACTGACTTCAGAGATACCCTTCTTATGCTGTCTTCTATAAAGAACCGTCCATGAGATACGGCGGGGGTTCTTGCGTTGGAGGAAGAGAGATTCGGTTTTTCCATTCTGGAAGCGGAAGATTTTGCCGTCGCCGCGGACGTAGAGTTTACCCTGCATATCACCAGCAAGAATCAGCTCATGCCTTCCAAAGCCTTCTCATGCTGTATAGCTGGAAATTTATTTCATTTCCATGGCATCCAGGTTGGAACGATGCTTCATTATCCCGCCGGTGTGAATGTGACAATTTCATTATATTGCAAAAGGGCGTGTCCAATCACAGAAAAATGCATTTTCACCATACCTTGCCAGGGTAAATCTTCTCGCCGCTGAATGTATCGTCGTAGGTACGCATCTTGGATGGAGGAGATGCGCAGCCGGTGTGGACGAGGTTGGGTTTGTTGACTTCGTGGTTAATTAACTCGTTGCGACAACCCGGACGCTTTCGCACTTTCGATGAGGTTTGGTGCGAGAGGTTTTCGCTAAAGTGCGTCACGTGACTATGGTTGCCCTTCAGGTTTTTACTTTTAGCAGTCGTACAGTCTATGCAGAGCCTTGCTTGCAACTCAACGAAATATTCTTGAACAGGAATAATAATTATGATGATACTAAGAGCAATGACTATCTGTAAGATCTGCAAATAATTTTGAAATTCGATGCCAGGCTTCCAACTATTTAAATTGATATCTTACCAATATCGACAACAGCAAGCAGGGCCACAGGTCACGTTCTCTTTCAGAGGAGAGACCAAAGGATGTCGCATGTAGACGCTTTGAACATCTTAAAGCCTGAATGAAACATATTGGGGCTTTGGATGTTGGAAAACTTGGGAGGGAAACAAACATAATCTTCAGACAGGAGGTAAATGGCGCGAGAATAAAATCACGAATATGATGCAATCAAGGAATCAGATCAACACTCAGCACCACCATGCTTTTTCACGTACGCTCCTCCCTTTTCCCATGCACGGTGAGTGGCAAAGTGTGTATCCAGAGGGCTTACATGCAGTGAAAGAGCCATTGGTATGTGAAAAAGAAGAACCTTGAAACATAAGCACCAAACGCCTGCAGATGGAAAAAAAAGAAGAAGAAGAAGAGGAAGAGGATAAAAGGATTAACGAAATATGGGGCGGGGAAGGGCAAAGGTATGCAGAAAGGTCCCTGCTGTTAAGAACTTCCCCAACCACAATCCATCATAAAGTATCCATGATGTTTAAAAAGCATGCATAATTTTAACTGGCCAAGAGCCTGGCAGCCTCCTCTGGCGTCGCATACAGGTGCGTATCCGCCTTTGCCTGCGCAATGGCTGCGGCAGAATCACTGAGCCAGTGTTTGGCAACATCAGCGGCAAGGGGATCGTCAGCGTTCGGGGCTCCAAGTAAAGCCTGGATCGACAAGAGGATTGTTCGGATTTGCAAAGCAGGGGACCAGTTATCTATTGAACAACAATTAGCTATGAATATGTTATCAGGGGCTGTAGGGAGAGGTCAGAGGTTTTAACATACTCTTCAGGACGTCCAGACAAACCCTTCCGATTCCGTCGACGTTGGGGTGATATATCTTTGTCTTGAACCGGACTCTGGGAGGAGCCATAGGATAATCTTCCGGCAGGAAAAGTTCTAGTACAAAGATGCCGCCTAAGATACAGTTAGCTGAAATCGGCTGAGAGCGTGTCGTTTCTTTCGTCTGTTCGGACAGTTTCCTGCTATACCTTCATACGGAGAATCGGCTGGTCCTTCGAGGGTAACATCAAAGTGGCGGAGATTGTTTTCCTTGGGCTTTGCAGTAATGCCTGGAACACTTTCCAGCATAATAATTTCTCTTAGCCATTTGGTGAATTTATATCCTAATTTATGGATACTCACGGCTCAGTCTGTAGGCGCTGTGTCTCCTTGATTATTCTCTTTGGCAAGGCCATGGTGGGGGTGCTTGACGTCCAGGAACCAGGAGTGGCAAAAATTATAGCTATACCAAACAAGCAGATCTTAAATGCACACGCCAGAAATAAACGATCAGATCCAGTCAGCTATATAATAGACTTCGGATTGTCAGTTGGATATCAGACAAACAAGGCCTTTGATGTAAATGAGCGCTCCTCCATTCCGCATTTACCACGGGGCTGCGGTGTTTGGTGCGGCAGATCGGCAGCACAATTTGCCTCTGCACCCTGCCGTAGTCGACCATCTAAAATGGGAGACGGTGGCAAGGATGTTCCGTGCCGATGGCAGTTTCCATGGATTGGCTTGTTATGGTAACTTGAAACTCAATCCAACATCATGAACTTGAGGTCAAACACGCAATTTTTTACTGCATGCTGCTTTGCTAATCCATTCATTTCTACCCAACTAGAAATTCCATTTGCTCTGCCTTACCTAGGTACGCTTTTAATAGCGGAAGATTTACGGGAAGGGCGTATCCTTTCCGGGGAACTTCAAAAAAAGAGTCTCAGTTTGATTATTCACCAGGAGGGAGTCGATGCTTTCGATTCAGATAGTACTATTTCCTAAGCATGGAATAAAGAACACCAAAGCTCTTGAATTGAGCCTTTCCTGTCTTTAGTTAGCCATACTGGTTAAATATCTAATTGCCGGCAGTAAGCTGGCCGAAAAAGGGAATGTTAATGTTTGTTGAGTCTTTTGCATGCTATTTACAAGGACAAGAGATTTGATTCTAGTAATAATATCGGACTATACTCCGAAATTACGAATTCCAGCACTGAATCATTTCTGTCCTCCATCAGTGGTAAAAGGGATAGCAGATCGTATACCTCTTGACCGCAGGAAATTTCTTTCCAAGGTTCCAGATATCAATCTCCTCATGATACCAGGAGGAAATTGCTTTGAAATACTTGGCGACGCCCTTACGCCACGGTATCGACTATGATTTAGGTTAAAATCCCCGTCGAGTTCAACAATGAGCCATGGTGGTCATCCATCTCTGTCTGCCTGCCCGTGAGAAGTGTTTGCCATTGTCAGTCACTGTCTCTCCATATCTCCCCTCCATATTTGCCGCTCTCCTAATTTTTGGACGCCTCTGCGGATTGCAACCTGGCCACTATCCATCACCCTTATCTGTTTATAGCAAATCCTTCAGCAACTGCCAAATCTCAGGATGAGAAGTCTGACGAAGACAGGCAAACTGTTTGAATCTGTAGCCAGCGAGCCATTGGGATGGTCACAAGGTATCGTTTCATGCATTGAAGACGGGGACACCCCTAAATGATATTGCACAGCGTACGAATGCAGGGTGTTTTATATATTGAAATGTCTTGCGGCGATAAAGGAGCATTTGAAGGTAGACATAACATATTCATGATTTCAATACGTCGAATACCTTACAACGGGCTGGGAGCAGAATGGAAGTGAAGCCAAGCCCTTCATCCATGCTGGGTGATGTCCCTAGCAATATCGAAAAGATAAAGAGGGATGTATGTATATCACAACGCTGAGGTGAATGAACTTACGGATTGATTGATTATCAGTAAAGGATGCGCCGTTTTTACACATAGAGCTAAGTAAGTTTAGAAGAATAACTCTACATAAGTACGGAAGAACACTTGGGAAACTAAAATTCAGCGTGAAAGGAGAATCAACGTGACGTTGTTCAGTTCGTGCTTGGTCGCTTGGGAACTTCGAAAGGCGGTCACGAAGGGCAGTACTGTCTCTTGGTATCACATGACGTTATCGTTAGGTCAGCCCTCAAAGCGGAGTCCCCTTGAAATGAAGAGGCCCTTTGAAGAGGTCGGCGATAGACTGTAGTTCAGTTAGACTATTAGTTTTATGGACTTAGTGAGTGTCATATATAATTTTTGCCCTTCCGTGTAACTTTGCTGCAGCTGGAAAATTTGGAGCTTACATTTTGTGCTCTCTTCTAGTGAAAACACATTGATACTCCTCCCTATTCCGCCTCAATCTACGGCATTGTCGATATGCGAGTAACGCCGTTTGATATGTGCGGCAACTTCTACCCTTCCCTCATGTCATCTGTGCAGGGTTCTATATGAGTCCTAATTGGTCTCACCGCATTACAGCAAATTGTTAACTACTGCCAGTCCCGGAGGCAGTACTCCGACATAGTCATCCGGACGGTGGGAGAGCTTTTTGACAATATGTCGAGCCCTATGGCGTTGAGGCCATTAGCCTCTGCCTACGAAAGCCCTACTTTTGGCGAAGATAGCTCATTTCATGTTGAGCAGCCTATTGGGTCGATGTCAATATCTCCGTGTGGCAGAGATGTTGTGCTCGCTTCGTACGTTGTTGGTTTATGTCCTAGAAAAAGCTATTCTCCTTTGATTACTGACTGGTAGTGGGAGGATACCAGAAAGGAAGGTCTTCATATAATTGACCTGGATAATCCTTACTCCCCTCCTCGATATCTCCCTCACCATACTCCTTGGGAAGTGGCAGATGTTCAATGGTCCCCCTTCGCCGCAAGAGACAGTTGGGTTGTGAGCACTTCCAATCAGAAGGCATTGGTTTGGAACCTGGCAATGAAATCGGCACAGAATTCTATTGAATACGTCCTACATGCGCATTCTCGAGCCATCACAGATATAAACTTCTCCGCCCACCATCCGGATGTTCTCGCCACTTGCGCGGTGGATAGTTTTGTTCACTGTTGGGATCTACGGTCTCCAGCTAGGCCTGCAGTATCGTTCTCCGACTGGTTTGCCGGGGCGACACAGGTTAAATGGAATAGACAAGACCCGCATGTGATTGCAAGTTCTCATGATAGATTCCTCCGGATTTGGGATGACCGAAAGGGTGCTCATCCAATACGTACGATTGTGGCGCATAACACGAAAATCTACGGTCTTGATTGGAACAGGACCCGTCCTGAAGCGTTGGTGACTTGCTCCTTGGATAAAACTATTAAATTTTGGGATTATTTAGTTGAGGAGGACATCCCCGAAAAAGTAATACACACGCCTTTCCCTGTTTGGAGAGCCAGACATACGCCGTTTGGATGGGGGATTCTTGCCATGCCGCAACGTGGAAACAGTGACTTACATCTTTATACCCGGGAGAGAACTTGTGGTCGGGGTTCTTCACGAGTTCATAGTTTTCCGGGTCATAGAGGCCAAGTCAAGGAATTTCTCTGGAGATCTAGAGGGACTGTTATTGACGGCCTAGATCACCGTGAATTCCAACTGGTCTCCTGGGGCACAGATAAAGAGCTGCGATTGCATCGAGTGGACCCGGAAATTTTAGCAGGAGTGGGCTATGAAACGGGAAAGTCCTTTAATCCCTCGCTGAACCTCACGCGGAAAGGCGCTGTCTATAAAACATTCCGCAACGATCCGAGACTGGAAGACGACGCAGTGCAACAGGAGACTTCCCCGGACACCCAACTATCAGGACGCAGTAGATCGGCGTCCACTATTGGCCTGGGTCCTAGTAATGTTTCCATGCCTTACTATAGCAATTGGACCCGAGGGGGAGCAATGGCATCTCCAGTTGGAATGCAAGCGAAATCCGCTCTTTGTGCTGACATGAATCCTATTTCTTGGATGCGAGGTGTTAAGATCTCGGGATGGGAAGTGGAAACACTAGGCGACGAAATTACGCATGTTGGTGAGAAATTTACAAAGGTTTCTTTCGAGTCTGTGAACATCGGGCAACGGAAAACGACAGTTTCTATGCATGGACCTTGGGGCCCTGACAATAGTAGCCTTTTTGTAAAGGTTGACATCAAATTCCCGCCTGGCTATCCGCGAGCCTCGATCCCTGTGTATAGCGTACAGAAGACTAGTTCAGTGACCAGTCAGTTGGCCTCGACAATAACGTCAGGATTACGAGCCATTTCCAAAACATACCTCACTCAAAAGAGAGGGTCACTTGAAGGAGCCATTCGATACCTCTTAGGTGAACATTCCGTCGAGGAGAGCATAGCGTTGGTGCAACGACAGGCCCGGGAAGCTTTGAAATCACCGGATATTTTAGGTGCGGATGAATCAAGTGATGAAGATGAAGAAAACGGGCAATTCCGTGTCTCACAACTCGGGCTGAATTCTTCCGAGCTTCTCCGTCCGGCAAATGCAAATGTAATGGTGCCAGTTTCTAGAACATGTGGTGCTTTTTGGGCCAACGATGGACGGCTTTTGTGCTTCTTTCCCCCTAAAAAGGAGAAGGCTGCCGCTTTTATGGGCTCCGTGGGACTCAGTGACCTGAGGCTAGTGCGAAACGATAGAGTTTTCGAGGGCTTCGGCAGACTGCAGACTAGCTCCCCGGGTCCGAAGCGATCTAGTGGGGTTGGCACAGGTAGGGGAACTATTACAGATGATGGTGCCTCTGATTACTCGGACGATTCTTCTATTGTGTCTTCTAGCTCGTCGGGCTCATCGGATCTCCTAGGAAACCACCCTACCCAATTCCATGGGCCGAACACCTGGAAAAGTGGAAGTTTGGGATTCTATCACTCAAGGTCAACGGAAAATTCCCAAAGGTCTACAACCGGGGTTGACACAGTGAAGTCATCATCAGACAAGCCCCACAACATAATATACATATATGATTTCAGCGAACTTCTTCCTGCCAAGAGAGAGTTAGCGAAATTGTATCAGGTGTTTGGTAGTCGCCCGGACGTTTGTTTGCATAATATGGTCGCTGCAGCTAGCCTAGGTTATTTCGACCTTGCCAATGTTTGGAATTTGATCGGATTAATATTGCAGCACGATATCCCGCCTGATACCGTCGTCATGGGGGATGACATTGTCGTGATTGCACACAAAACCTTGCGAGATGTGAAACGAAAAGACAGTGCCATGGATTTGAGTTTCGGTAAGCCTAAACGGAGGAAATCCTCCATCAGTCCTCTTCCAGACAAAATCGAATGGGGAGAGCATCCTCTTGGTGGCCGTTGGCTTGTCCCAGCCCTGTAAGTTTCCTTTGGAATTGGTTGATATTAGGCTGATGACCGCTAACCGGGACTAGATTTAACTATTTCGAGCGTTTGGGAGATATACAGATGTTAGGGATGCTCTCATGCATTTTTTACGAACCAGAGTTTAGGTCGGATTCAATCCAAGTGGGATTTCGCGGGGACGGACGGTCTTCCGTTGTATTGGAAAACTCAATGTTGACCACGGATCACAGCTCACCATCAGGAGACTCCCAAGGGAAACCTCAAGTATCGTCACGACTCACATCACTACCTAAGGATTCCCAAGTCACTTCAACTTCTCATAGCTCTGCTTGCTCATCAACGTCGCAGTGGCAAGTGGACACACCTCCAGTCTACTCAACCGGAACCACTCCTCCTCAAGGAGTTCACGTAAACAAGCGTCCCTCGGCTCGAAAATCACAGGCCCAGGGTATCTCTTTATCTGGATCGCCTGACCGTCATTCTACTTCCCGCTCTATTCCTGGTTTAGGTACCACGACGCTGGCCTCGTCACTATCGCGGTCTTTTACATTTGGTCCTTCAGGATCATCTTCACCTCCAAGTAACAGCAGCAAAAAGCGACCTAGTCCTGTAGGAAGTTTGAACATGACTGCCCCCAGTGGCTGGGTGACCAGTGGAATATTTGCAAAACCTGCATCATCAATCCCAGACTACTTAACCGCTTCAACCACTACTACATCGCAAACTCATTCCGACTCCGAAAGTTCCAGACCTACCTCGCCAAAGTCCTCCAAACCCACGAAAGGTGTTAAAGTGGTGATGAAAAACCAAGATATGTTTGATGGGGATAATCATACCTACGTCCCATTGTTAGATCGGAACCAGGAACCACTTTACAAAGCCTACCGAGCTGCGTATGCTAATTTACTTTTCGTTTGGGATATGCCAGTAGAGCGCAGGGAAGTGCTCAAGATGGATAGTATTTCAAGCAACCGTCCAGATATGTCTCTTCTATCTCGCCCTAAAGGTTATGAAAAGCAAACGTCAGTCTTTCCTCGTCGCGATTCAAAGATATCACCATCAACTCGCTCTCAAGTGACACAACCTTATGAGGAAATCCAGGGTTTGGATTTACAACGGCATTGCGGGAGATGCGGATGCTGTCTTTATATTTCTGCTTTCGCCATGCAATCGCTGGGGAAAGCTAGTCGCGCCAGTAAAACCCGTGACGATTCGTTTTCAATCCAGTGCCCCCGCTGCAAACCTGCACAGCCGATACCCACAAAGCTGTCCTGCGTTATCTGCGACGAAGTAGTTATTGGAATGTTCACACCATGCTTCAATTGCGGACACATAACCTGTCACGAATGCCACCGGAAATGGATCACCCAACAATCTCAGACAACTGAAGGAGAAATAATCACCTCATCCTGCCCAAGCGGCTGTGGCTGCATTTGCTCGGACCACGTCGTTATCCAGCTCCCTATGCCTTTGTCTCCGAACACAGTAGCATCAGAGAGGAAACTTGTCATCGCAAAGGAATCTAACCGAAGTCGATCTCAGCCCCCGCGCAGAGATCGACGGCGCAGCAGCGGATTTTCAACCGGCTATTTCGACTTCAAACGAGATGGCGAACCTGATGTCCGGACCAGCTTCCGCTTTGCCACCCTTGCGCGTGGGTTAAGCGGCCTTAACCTCGATCTTCATCAGAGGAAACAGGCGGCGAGAAAACACAGCAGTCGTGTGGCTGAATAGAATGGTGCGAAGAATACCTTGGAGAGGATTGATACTCCCTGATTTGGTCCTTTTTTCCCCATGCATTTTACTTCTTTTTCTTTTGTTATCGAAATACCTCTTGCAAGTTACTTCCTGGTACTCACAATGAGCTTGCTTTTGCCCCCCCCCCCCCTGTTTTTTGGCACCTATATTCCTTCCCGCATAGCGTTGGTGTTCTAGTGGCGTTATGAATCCTTTTGGATATCCCAACCAATGTCGATTTACATAACGTCTCTATGTAGTCAATGATGTATGTATGCCATCAATGCAACTGTTAGCGCATTGCCTTTTTTATCTCACATCCGGCAGATCTGCCCTGTGTGGCTGTGGTCCCACGGTTAAAGGTAACATTTAGTTGATAATTCAAAACATATAACTGTGATCAGTCGTTTCCTGACTATTCACTTCTTTTGTGCAGATTCTGCTGCCCTTCCCCAGGAAAAGCATTCTAGGCAAGATCGCCTGCCAGAAGATATCTTCTGGGCCAACTCACCTTATCATATGAAGATAAATACATACATTGTTCCATAACTTCAGCATGCAGAAGCTCCATGTTCCATTATAAATTATTATATTTTTTATTTTTTGTTAATTTAAAAACAATGTAAGTATAATCATTAAATTCTGATGTAAACCTTAATAGTACGGCTGAATTATCGATGTAGAGAAACAGTAAGTACCATTTGATAAGATACTAAAGCTGAGGAAGAAGCAGGAGATGCGTAAACAAACAGAGAGAGTAAATCTATATAGAGCTAGTTTCATGTCCTTGCTGAGCCGTCTCACTTTTTCACAATTATATTTAAAACTATGTAGTCAGGAGAATAGACTTGAGAGTGTGACATTGTACGCCTTACCTGCATGCTTAAAATTGCTTAGTTTCATAGCTCTAATGACTAAATGAAGCATTCCTTCCTGATTGAAAGCTTGATCCTTTGATTTGATGGGCATATTGATTGATTTGATGGATTCAGGGGTGGGCGTGAAATGGTGTTCTGGTAGGTGATCTATGTTAAGCCGGCGTTGACCAGTTTCTCCACTCCGCCCACTGCACTGATCTTACTAACCCGTATAACTTTGCTGTAGCTAGCCTCCGCCTCCCGGACCGAACGAAGATACGGACACGATATTCATCATCAGGTTATAGGCCAGCCCAGTGAATTAGTCGAAAATTTTGGACTTGAAGATCCGTTGAGCAGCTTCGATCTTGTTTTAACTTGAATTGTAGAGAACAAAGACGGTTGAGAGGAAAGCTGCGGAAATAGCTAGGATGCTGATGCATATGGGAAGATCATGGACATCAAAACAACCATGTAATCTGGAAACGTGTCAGCTATAGAGAGTTTCCAATGAGAGAAACAAAAGTATAGGGGGCAAACGCGCTTGTTTTCCGCATTTGCTCCCTGAGGCGGCTATCTAAGCCGCCGCAATGAGGGCATATCCGGCTGCGGTTAACTGAGGGATTATAAGGGAAGCTCCATACATACTACCCTAACAGTTAATGGCATTACTGCAGAAAACACAGTGAGCCCAAGAGGGGTACGCATGGCCATGGCATAACTTTCGTAACCCTGGAGCGTGGATTCTGTTACTCATAAATGACATAGTACAATCAAAGGAAGCATATAGTAAGGGAAAAGGATGGGATGGTTAAATACTGAATTGACAGAGAGGACAACATAATCTATCAATACGAAAGCATGAATGGCTTCTGCAGGATGAGGGTGTCGAAAAGAGCAGGAGAGTAGAGTTGGTTGGATCCCGGTACAACAAAACACTCTACCAGTCTTGATATCCGATTTGTGGATTCGTTGCGTTATCTTTATTGTTGGGTCGAAAACAGGAGGGGGTTTTCGATCCCGTACTCTTAAATGCAGCGCAGTCGATATAACAGGGAAGCGTTGTATATCTGATAATTGGAAGCCACCGGATGTCTTCCGGTCTTGTCGATCTGCTGGCATAACAGAATAGGAAACGTTGTTGGGCCATGTTTCTGGGCCGTGTTCTGGGACCGATAATCAGGTGTCAAAAACCAAGGGTAGTTAAAGTAGTAGTGCGGTGAGACATAACATGTAGGCCTAGCGGGCCGAATCGACAATCTAAGCTCCCCGCTCGAGGTTTCGTTCATTTGTGCCAACATCCCACTTAAAATTTATCTTTAATTGTTCTGAGATTTAAGGTCTTGGGTACGACGAAAAGGGCATTTGCCTCAGCACATATGGTACCCTTGGAATCTCGAATATTACCCTTTATGAAGGCTTTGCGCTCCGTACTCTTCTCCCGGTCGTACTCCGCTGTCACCGTACAGAAATCCATTACCCTGATGGGTGTGCGATAGTGAATGTTAAGGTTCGCAGTTACGCCTGTTCGAGCGGGAAAGCTGAGTAGAGCAACTCGGCCCAGACACACATCTAGCACTGTAGCAATTGCTCCCCCGTGAACTACTAACGGCCACCCACCCATCCCAAAACCAAAATACACAACTGTAACAGCTTTGCGTTCTTTATCATTCCAGAAAACGCGCTGCGCATGTACATCGAGAATAGATTAGCAACGCGATCTCAAAGCTCCCCAACTGACGTATAAGACCATCGAATATCACGCAGGCAGAGGTGGGGGTGAAAAGTAATCCTACTAACCTGTAGGGCCAAATTGTGAGTCCCGCTCAGAGGACCGCTTGTAAGTTGACACGGCTTCTCCTCCTCTGAAAGACTTTCATGTGCCTCCCATTCCACATAATCAGGATCTGCCCGTAGCTTTTTAACCACCTCCAACTTATCCATCTTTTGCCGTAGATGGCTTAATCGCTGTCTATCCTCCTCGGAGCCTGGTGTAACTGGATCTTCGAAGAATGAGGCCACGGCATCCCCTATCCTATAACCCAACAATCCAAAGAGGACTGCGTAAACCAATGACCTAAGTCTTCGTCGAAATAAATACTCATTTTCAGTCAACGGCGCTCGTGCTGAACTCGTAAAATTGCGTTTTGATGTGGAGGGAATGAACCCATTGAAACACAGCAGACGCGCGGAGATACCACTCCGGGGCAATGTGCCACGAGAGAAGGCGCTGGATATCAATCTTGGAGTGCGGAACATTTCTGGCGCATGTCAACCATTGCAATGGGGTTGTTGAGAACTCTGTGAATTAAACGGATGTTGGGTCCAAAAATTATTAGACCGAGGTTCAAATGAAAGTCACGTGATTAGAATGTTAATGGAGGCAGCCACGTGCGCTGTGAGATTTCATTCCTAAACAATGGCATGGGTCTTTTTATCGTTGAAAAATATTGTATCTATACTTGATAGGCGTCGCGGTACCTTGTTTGCAATTGCTTTTGGTTCTGAAAAGAAGTTTAAAGAACAAAAAAAAAAAAGCGTGGCCGTTGCCTGAAAAATAGATTGTCTTTTTGAACAGTTCTCGGGACCCTTGACATCATTATATTTAAGTAAGGGATCAAAACGAAAGCAAGAACAAATAAAACAGGCATACGAGTAGATAAGTCAAATAGCATGTGAGAACTCATTTCAAAAGCACGCTAGATTACTAGATCTATATTGTTTTTGCCCCAGACCGGTTCGAAACATGATTTCTTAACAAAAAGCCAGAAAGCAAACCATAGAGCTCGTCTCAAACGAAATGGGAACATAGCGTTATCGTGGGTTTGGAAGGAACGAAATCAACAAACACGAGGCAGCTATACTGTTAACTAGACAAGGTTTGCGTTCCCCAAAGCGGAGGGCTAGGTTTATTCTTCTTTGGGCACATCTTTAACTTCTTCTGCGGTTGGCAAATCGATTGCTCGGTATAACAAAATCAATGCAGAATGTGATTCACCTGGCAAAATCAAGTTAAAGGCGGCTCCCGAAAGTGGAACACAAATGAACGAGAGAACAAGTCAATGGACACTTACCGCCTCCTGATAGCGTTTCAATCTTCTCCGCCTCGACCTCCGAAACTTTGTCATCATTGAACCACCACCACTTCCCATCGTCCTCCCGCCTCCTGCCCCGTGGGACATGAGGATCATCGACGATCCGTGCTTGCTTCCTCACAAAGGTGGTGTAGTGACCACTGTCGGCACTAGGGCCCTGGTGTGTAATTACTCCCCGCAGTTCGTAAAGTCCAGACTTATTGGCCCCATCATCAGCCGCAAGCTTAGGGTCAATAAGTTCGAACAGTTCTTTCTTCGCTGCCAGAACCGCAGCGGCACGCTCAGATTCATACTCGGCATCTGTTTTGAAGGTACCTTCCATCGGCACATCGGTGCTTGCTTCTGCTTCGGCCCTTGACTCGGTCATTTGCTTCTTTTGGACGGGCTCACTCATTAAAGCATCAGCCTTCCGGTCCTCTTCTTGCTTATGCGCAATCTTCTGGCGTTTGCGAGCTCGTTCCATATCATGTTCATCTTTCCGAATCTCTCTGATCTTGTCCCTCACAGGGATGAGCTGGCTTTTCAGCTCATCAGTACAGAATTCCACTACGTCCAACTCTGCAGGAAATGTCACTTTGCGCATGATTTTCACCTTCTTTTGTATATCCCGTTTCCAGAAGAAGCGCATAAAATGAACTGTCAGGTATTTAGGTAATCGAGAGATCAGTGAGCGTTTCGTATACATAGCGTCCCTGTCGAGAGTGGGTGAATGCTTTTCAATCTTATCTTGTAGGCCCGCCAAAATTCCATCTCGCAGATGATTTATAGTCTGGTCGATATGGCAGTCAAGTTTAAGAAAGGTGTCAGATGATTCAGTAGGTGTTTCTCCAGCTTCCTTTGCCGCCACTTCGTCACATTCGTCAACCGATTCCAACTTTCCAGAGAGATATTTGTCCACGAAGGACACTTTTGCTGATAATTCATCGTTGTTCTCGCCCTGGATCTGGAGACTCCGGCGAAGTATGGATATAATCTCGGACCAGGCCTCTTCCGCGTCTTGTTGTTCATATCCGCGACCGTCCTTCGCTTTCCGTACGAGATGTGGAATAGCAAATGCTAGAGCATTCCAAAATATGTCCGGCGAAAGCCCGTACCGCGTTTCAGACATCTGCTTATAGAGGTCTCTCAACGAAGCGACAAGATCGAAGGAAGAACCTCTGCCGGAATTAAACGGCCCGAGCGAGGACTTGTATTTCAAGAGCTCTTCCTGAAGTTCTGGGAGGGTCCGTAATGTCTGGAGTGTGGAGTTTAGCCAGCATGTGTTGCCCATGTTTTTTAGACCGGCAGGGGTTGCGCCCTCAGATTTCGCGGCTTCAGCTTCCGTCATATCTTCAATAAACTTGGTGGCCACCTTAGGTTTCTCCAGAGCGGCACTGGCACGACCGGAACTTGGGGTACCCAGCAGCATGAAAGTTTCCCCTGGTTTAGCATCGAGAGTGGAGAGTTCGGTGTTATCTTTAAGCTGGACTCCCTTCACAAGAACCTTCTGGCGCTCCGGTTCGACTCCGGTAAGTGAATACAACTGGAATTTGAAGGTCTCCCCGTTGGTAGTCGGATCGAGATCTACTTCGTGGCGCTTGCCCTGGTGCTTTACGATCACTACAACCCATTTGTTAAAGGCAAGCAGGAGCATGATGGCGTGGGAGTGGGGTTGTAAAACTCACCTCGAATCGTAGCCATGGCGGAAAATCGATATTCTTTCCCCAAGCCACAACCGAACAAAATATATATCTAAATTTCAAAAGCCGTTGAAGACTGAGAGAAACGGCGGGAGTACATCAACAGGGACAAAGGTCGACTGAAGATAATATGTTGTGGATGCTGATAAACGCTGCCGATGCTTTTGGTGGGATGTTGTTAGGGGGGATTGCTCAGCAGCCCTATCACGTGATCAACTCCCCCATATTAAGTAACTAGTTAACTAACGTAAACGATCACCGTTCCATTCCAACCACCTGAATCCACTGAATCAATTCGATATGCCCGCCAAATCAAAAGACCAAGCTTTCAATCACGAAGGAAGGATTCTTTTAGCCATTAGGGCTTATGAAACTAAGCAATTTCCAAGCATGCGAGCCGCTGTCAAGGCGTATGATGTTGCTCTCTCAAGCCTATCCTACCGACTACACAGTAAATCACACATGAATTCTCAACAAGACAATCAAAAGCTGACCTCAATTGAAGAAGAATCTCTAGTTTGATGAATAATATTCATGAATGAGAGAGGTCAAATCACAAGCATATGAGATATGGTCATTCAACTACTGAAGATATATACAGAATTTGATTCATTATCTACAATTGAAGAATGCTGAGTTTGAAGATAACATCATAATGTGTTAAAAATGTGAAGGATAGATTGCTTGATTATGAAGCGATCGCTAGCTACGCGGAAGTTATAACGTAATCGATCACTCAACTGGCCAGATCACTCAACTGGCCACCTCCCCACTGTACATTAAACAAATCTTTAAATTCCGCCACCACTATATTAAATTATCCATTAAAAAATTATATACAATTAAATCCTAGCTCTGCAAGCATCCAGGGGCCCTATGTCCAGTATTCCCACACTTGCTGCAGCGTGCCGGTGCTCGCTTTTTAGTGGGTTGATTTGAATCCTCCACCCCTCTATCCACCATCTGCTGAGCAGCCTGAGCAGTCTGAGCTCTAGCTAATCCTTCTTCTCCAGTCAGAATTCCTTCCTGACCTATGTAAACACGGCCTTGTCCTCGCTTGCGTTTCTGCTTCTCATTTGCAGCTCATAAAGCCTTGTTCTCTTGAGTCAAAAGAGCACCCCCATGCATAGCTAGTTGGCACCCCCGAACTAGTTGATCTAGAGCTTGGTTGGTAGGACTAGGCGGGCTTTGCGTACAATGCTTGATAAACTGCTTGAGCTTGTTGAATTGGCGTTCCAATTGGACAGCATTTCAGGGAGTCTTTGAGGTCCAGGAGGCCTGAGATTCATGAGATGTGCCTGGGGGACTTGGTGTATGTAGTTGATAATATAGGCGTTCAAGAACCTCCTCTGCATTGAATGGCACTAAGCCTGTGGCTCTGAATCCATTCTTAATAGTCATATCCTTCAATGCCTCCTTCCTAGCAGCAGAATATAGTTCTAGGAATTCCTCCTTATCCACATGATTAATGCCAAGCCTCATGCCAGATTCAACCTGCTTGCAATATGCCTTCTTCAGGGGGGCAAAGCAGCTCACATCTAGTGACTGCAGCAGATGGGAAGAATGAGGTGGCATATAGAGAGCTATAATAGCATTCTCTCTGCAGAATTGATCAAATTCAGCAGTGGCATGGCTCCCATGCCCATCCAGAATCAAGAGTCTATATCTTCCAACTGTATAAGCCTGAGTATGCTTGTTAAACACCTCTTTCAGCCATATTAGACCAAGCTGATCAGTGATCCAGCCATTCTCACTAACCCCAATTACCCAATCTGCTGGCAGGTTTGTATACCATGAAGCCTGGTGTAGCTTGCCCTTGAGAATAATCATTGGAGGCAGGCTCTGTCCTCTTGCATTGACTGACTCAATCACAGTCACCCATTCCCTATTTCCTGGCTGTATAAGAGATGCCTTTCCAGCTCTTTCTGACCTAGTGACCACTAAGGTTGTTGAAATAACCCCCATAAGAAAGCCAACTTCATCAAAATTATATGTATCCTCAGGTAGAATTCCATACTTCTTCATGGCATTATCCACCATTCTAAACCACCTCTTTATAATCTCTGGATCTTCACATAGAGCTCGCTGGTGATCATATCTGTGTGTGAGCCTGGTCTTCAGCTCAGAATGGCATTTAATAAATCTCCGCACCCAGCATTCTCCAATGCTAGGGGATATGCTAGATCCACGGGCCCTGAGTAGCTCAATGGCCATATATCATACACTTGCAATTCGGGGGGGTAGGCCTCTCTCATCCATGGAGATTATCCATTGAACTAGAGCTTCTTCTTCTGTAGGTGTCAATTTCTGGCGTTGAGACTGGGATTTCACGCGTGGAATGCCTCCATGTAGTCGATTGGATAGGGTGGCACAAGAGACACCATAGGCCTTAGCAGCAGCTCAAATGCTAGAAATTTGCTTGGTTTCATAGGCTCTAATGGCCAAAAGAAGTTTTCCTTCCTGATTAGAGGCTTGAATTTTCATTGTGGTTGAGAAATTGAGCTTTGATTGTTGATGATGGGTTGAAATTGGAAAGGTGGCCAGTTGAGTGATCTGGCCAGTTGAGTGATCGATTACATTATACGGTGCGGATTACATAAGAAGACGGATAGGCCTGACAAAAAACAAACTCAAATACAGACATGATTTTCAGTAAGTATTTTGTGAAGAATCAAAGATTAAACTTAAATAATTTATTGTTGTTGTTATTATTATTATTATTATTATTATTATTATTATTATTATTATTATTATTATTATTATTATTACTTTTTATTTGAGATATATATAGTCAATGATTTTGAAATTTGATTAGCTATATTAGAATTTAATTACTTTATAAATTTGATATATATATATAATATATAATATATAATTATATAGTTTTATCTTAAAATAACAAAGTATTTAATAAGATATATTGTAGAAAATATAGTTAAATATATTTAATTTAGTAAAATAAATTACAAATAATAAATAAAAAATAATAAAATAAAAAATATATATAATAATTTTAATAATAAAATAATATTTATAATATAATAATCTTTAAAATTTAATAATTTTTAATAATATAAATTATTTTTTAAAGAAAGTTATTATTTTTTTCTATGAAATAAATTAAAAATTATGTATTTAACTTAGTTTTTAAAAAATATATTTAATTAACTAATAAAAATTTTATTTTTATTTTTTAATAATATTATTTAATAAATAATTTATTAAAATATAATTTAAATTTTTAGTTAAATTATAAAAATTATACTTAAGCTTATAAAATTTTTAATTTTTTAAATATAATTAATAATATTTTAATTTTAACTATATTATAAAAGAGAAAAAATTTTATACTTTATTAAAAAAACTTTTATTTTAATTTTATTTTATATATTAGATATTAAATATTTTTTAAGTTTTAATTTATTTATTAAGATATAATTTTTAAATATTTTTCTTAAAATAAAATTAAAAAATAGTTTTTTATAATATATTTTAAATTTAATATTATTTTTATTATTAATTAACTTTTTTATTTTCTAAAATATTTATATAAACTAATAGTTAAATAACTAAACTTAAGTATTATTATTTTTTAAGTTAATTTATAAATTATTTAAATAGTTATTTAACTATATTAAAAAATTATTTACTTTTAATAGTAAAATTTTAAAATAAACTTGTTTATTATTTTTTAAATTGTAAATAATTTAATATTAAAAACTTTATATTTTTAAAAAAAATTTAAAAATATAGTTTATACTTTAAATATTTTTTAAATATATTAATATTAGATTTATTTTTAAATATTTTTTACTATTTAACTTATTTAAATATATAAAAGTTTTATAATAACTTTTATATATAGATAAATAGATATTATAATTATTAATTATATATATATATTTATATATTTATAATAAATAATAATAAATCTATTTTTTAATAGTTTATTAATAGAAATATCTATAAATAAATTTAGATTTATTTTTATAAAAAATAAAATTTATTATAATTTATATTTTTTATATTTAAACTTAATAATTAATTATTAATCATATATATATTTTATAAAGTTATTAAATTTAAAATTTTTTAAAATTTTTAAAGTATTTATTTTAAAAACTTATTCTATTTAAATTTTTTATAAATAACTATTTATAATAGATTTAAAATAAATAGTTAACTAGTTAATAATCTTAATTATAAAGATTATTAAAATCTTTATTTTAAGATTAAAAATAAAATAATATAAATTATTATTTAAATTTAATAATAAAGTAAGTATTTAATTTTATTAATTTTTTTTTAAAAAAACTTTATATAAAAAATTAATATTTAATTTTATTTTAATAAAATAAAATATTAAATTTTAAAAATATAATAAAAAATTAAAAATATATATTAAAAATTTTACTTTATATATTTATTAATTAATTATTAAAATTTTATAATATATAAATATTAATATATACTTTAATAATAACTTTATTAATAGATTTATTAATTATTTAAACTTTCACTATATATTAAAAAATTAAGTAGTATTTAAATATATTTTATACTATATTTTAAAATTTATATTATTTATATTAAAGATTATAATATAAAAATTCTAATTCAGATTAATACTAATTAAATAGATAAAGACTTAAAATCTGATTTTATTATTATTGACTATTTAATCTTCAGCTTACTTTCTTATCTTCATTATTTATACAGACAACAAGTCTGCAATAAAACTTCTCTTTACAAAAGCTCTACTATGCCACATCAAGCTTGTGAAAGTTCACTTTCACTTTTTTGAGATCTTGTTCATAAGAATAAATTTTCTCTATACTATATCATCTGTAGATAATGTGATGAATGATTTTATCAAGTTACTAAGAGTCACTATAAGTTCACACACTGAAAGAAATTCATAAAGTTGAAATAAATGCCTCTTTTAATACTCTTTTCTTTTCTTTTTTAACTGGGGTTTTCACTTTCTTGTTTTCCAGTTGATTCTGTACCTGTACTTGATAAATAGGCCTATTATTGTATATAATAAGCGCTCCTAGGACCCGCCAATCACGTGATCTATCTTCATCCAAATAGTCGTCGTTCTTGTAGTTAGCAACCTTTGCAATCAATCAAGCTTGCCATTCTGTCATAATAAGAGTCTTTTCTCCTGATTGGGAATTTCCTTGCTAAATGTGATAGGCATATTGAATAGAATAAAGGTTGAAAAGGAAAGCGGTTGAGTGTTATGAATGGTTGAGCGGTTGGTGGAATTATTTGACTGACTTAGTTATCCTTCCAAGATGTTTGTTAGGTAACATTTATTAGCATGCAAACAGTGCAAACGCCGCCATTGCCCTTCATTTCCAACACCATCGCAATCGGCACCAACCACCAACGAGACCCAGTAACGAGCCTGACAATGAGTGCGAAGTATTAAAGATCTTGCCGTGCTCCCCTCTAGTTCTAGTTATGCAGAAGCACGGCAGGCTATAGTCTCAATTCACCAACTGCCGTGTAAATCTCTTCTTTCCCGCCTTACCCTCATCCCGATCACACAAAATCAACGGGTAACAGCCAACTTCCAACATCATGGTATATCTATAACCCCGAGCGTCTCTCTCCAAGTACTCAGCTAATCGCAAAATAGTCCCAATCTTTGCGCCCGTACCTTCAGTGTGTCCGATCTTCCCTCACAGCCGCCCTCGCAATCTCCAACTTTGCTTCCCAGACAGCGGAACGGCATAATGTCCCAGAGGTGGAGGCAGCTACTTCGCCGGAAGTCCTACTAAATCCTCTCACGATCGCGCGCAACGAAAACGAGAAAGTCCTTATTGAACCAAGTGTGAACAGTGTCAGAGTCAGCATTCGGATTAAACAGGCAGATGAAATCGAGAATATTCTAGTACACAAGTTCACGAGGTTTTTGACCCAAAGGGCGGAGGCTTTTTTCATTCTGCGACGGAAGCCAGTAAAGGTCTGCTCCCCCTGACATGACGCATAACTCTGAATGGGAGCTGTCGTGGTTAACACATTATCTAGGGATACGATATTTCATTCTTGATTACCAATTTCCATACAGAGGCTATGTTGAAACATAAACTGGTTGACTTTATTATAGAGTTTATGGAGGAGGTAGATAAGGAGATATCGGAAATGAAACTCTTTGTGCGTATCAAGTCTCCACGCTCGATTATGTGGACTTCCTGCCTACTCTTATGGAAACATATTTTGTCTCGTCTGGCTAACGGCTGGCAATATAGCTTAACGCTCGCGCGAGATTTGTGGCGGAATCCTTTTTGACACCGGTAAGCATGGCTACCACCTCCAGTGTCTTAACCGCGTACTAACAAGTCGATACCAGTTCGATTAATGTTATGCTTTTAAAAATTCACAGCAATGGCTTCGATGTGATTTGTTTTTTTCCAGTGCCTTAGTATATATCTCCTCTCGAGTGATAACTCGGAATGTGTTATCTCTCCCCGAAAGCCTTTCCGCTTTGTGTAGATCACAATTGAAGATCCCAATTACATTGTGGTGTCGGAGCTTCTGTTCTAAAGAAGTATAAATTATGCTGCTAACATAATTTAGTATTCCTTTGGTTTCTATCTGCTCCCGCTGCTCCACCATTCTCCGTCACGGAGCTTCTGTCAGTGAAACCTTTAGTAATCATCGGTCACTGTGTATCCGCCTGGTCACTGAAAAAAATGCAAATGCCTGTATTTGCCTAAATTGACTTATTCCAACACTTGCCTTTCATACATTGTTTGGGCTTCCGTGAACTTTCCTGGCCATTCAGCATCGTCTTAAGCTCATTTCAATGCTGGTCCGTTTTCGAAAGTCCAAACCCCCTTAGTTGCCCATCGAATGTACGGAGGACGTTGCATCAAGGCCATATCCCCATTCTCTCTGTTTAATACCCTCAGCGATGAGAACTGATCTGTGTCCTCCGCTTCGCCTCTTGGAACAATGGTTCCTTCCGCCAGTCATATCACTTGTAGCAACACATTCCAGTGTAGAAAAAGGAACAGAGCTTGGCCTTTGTAAAAGGAACAAGGAGCTTCTTTAATAGCATTCATATATTGCCATTGTTCACAAGAAGAGGCAATTGCACATCTTCTGTCAGTCCCTGACCCTCCCCCCTGTGATGCTCATGTCAACTAAGCATCTGTCCTTGATATCTCTCGGTGACCAGCTAACTACTAAGCAGTCCGCAAACAATATTAATCAGTTTGTTTTATTCCCCCCCCTTTTGACCCTCCTCTCTTTCTTCTCTTCTCTTCTCTCTGCTATACCTCAACGACAAATCCGGGTTAGCTTCCATTTCGGGGCCGCTGTCAGATGTGTAGTCTCTGCTGCTTTCAGTCGAATCCTTTTTCAATGAAACAGCTCGTTTTTCACTTGGTAAAGTTCGCATCTCAACTGCACATGAATCTAGAAAACAACTGATACGAAGTTTTATGGCATGAGCTTCCCTTCCATGTACAAGATGTCGGACCGTGATAGGGCCCAATGGCACGAGAATCCCCCAAGTTCCCCGTATTCAAAGCCATCAATAGCCCACTGGGAAGATGATATGGAACCCGAGAGCAATTTCCAGCTTGAAGAATCTCCAAATGACGAATTCAATGGCGATGGAGTTGGGACCACAGCTCCAGACACAGAGATTAGTATCAGTTGCAGCGGTGAAGGGGACCATGGCCGTAGGCGATGAACTTGCCAGCTATGAAACGGAGGATTTGGGCTTAGACGCTGAAAAATGACTTCGATGAGACGTTCAACTCGGCCTCAGTCAATTCAGATGGATCAGATGTCGAAACTTTCCCTGATTTTGTTGACGATGAGAGCTTCCAAGCTGTGGAACAGAGCCAGCCAGAGTCCAAGGGCAGTGAGCCTTCAAATTAATGACACTTTACAGTTCCCCCCAAAGTTCGTTGATGGGTGCCCTTACGGTGTCCAGATGTTTCTTGTGTATTATTCTTGCAAACATCATATGGCCCCATGATGTGACTTATGCGAGGATGCCATATATGCAGAGAGGTCTGTTAGTGCACAGCCAGTGGGTTGAGAAAGGTAAAAATGAATCCAATTCCAATCCTGGAGAAACCAGATTCACGAGCTGTCCTCCTTCTCTTGAATCTGTTGGTGATTATATGGGGAATACACTGCCAGTGAATTCCATTTGACTGACGCCAGGGAGTCACTTTGTTGGTGTTCCCTCTCGCACAATGGGCACAAACCCACGATGATTCCTCTGTAACTACAGTGACGTCTGGAGAACGCGCTCGTACATCTTCGTTTTCGCCTCCTTGTCTTGTCGCTTTTCAACTTCCATCCCACAACAACATCGTCAACAACGCTTTGTGTCGAAACAAATCGACACTACCTCTAATAGCCAAGATGACAGCTACACATACCGCCAGAGCCGATGGTAGCCTCCTAGCTAGCTATCTGCATGAGATGCCGTTCGAAGATGGGACGAGCAACAGCAAGCCACCCAAATTTGGGGTTATCAAGATCACCAATGTAAGTGCCAGACGAACAATCCCTTGTATTCGTTTTTTGGTTTTTTTCTCGTTTGCTCTCATTCTACATCAAGAGTCCAAGATGGACATGTCTGTTATCTAGAGTCATGCTAACATGACTCTAGATCCCTTATGCGGTGACGAAGCATGAGGTTTTGCAGTTTCTTGGACGTAACGCCAGTCCCCTGAGTCCTGACTTGGGATATCCTGTTCACATCATCATGGAGCGTTCGACTGGCAAGACCATGGACTGCTATGTTGAATTCCCCACCATTCCTGATGCGGAGCAAACCCTTAGCTGGGTCAACCGTTGTCTAGAGAACTTCCAGTCACCCAAGTTGGGTAATCGTCACGTTATAGTGAGGCTTAGTAGCCAGGACGAGTTGCTTAACGACCTTTTCCCTCATGCGAAATGTGTTGAGTGGAGAGATGGTGTCCCGTACGTGGATAATTCCAAAAAGGACAAGTATTGCTCTGGATTTCAGGGGTTCTTGACCGGAGAAGAAATCTTCTGCACTGTACGACATGCTGAGGTTCCTAATCGCGTACGTATCCGACCTTAATCTGCTGCGCGTCCCGACCCTTATCAAAAATTAATCATCGTTTGTACAGTCCCCTTACTGTACAAAATGTCTTCAGCGCCCGTATGAGAATATGACAAGCACCCTGCACAAGGTAAGCTTCACTTTCATCATCTTTTGATGGTTTACTAATCCCATTCCAGTATCCCTGGTATGCAACACATTGTTTCACCGTGGAAGATCGCAATCAGCTTTTTTCTGCTACATTTCGTCTACTTCATGCACTGGTGCCGAAAGTCGAAAGGGGAAGAACCATCGGGCTCGACTCGCGCGTTGTTGAGGATTTGCTGCGAGCGGGACTTCACTGCCCCGTCTTTAATAACCGCCAGAAATTTGTTCTGAACATTGCTGCAAAGAACTGGAATGGCCCTAAATCTCTCTCTTCGCGTTACTGGCCGTTTGACACTCTGGTCCAAAAGAATAATGCTAGTGAGGAGTTGGTGATGGTATAGATCTCCCCACAAATTGAAATCCTCTTCTTATGCTGACTTTTGCTCTCCTTTCCCCCTCCGCCCCAAACAGGAATATGCCGAACTGATTGCTGCTGGTGTTGGCAGCCAGAATCCTGCTTGCAAGATACCTATTAATACCTGGAATCCTGTTATGCATGCTGGTTCTCCATTTGGCAAGATCTGGATTGAATGGGGATGGGGCAATACCCATCATAAGTGGCACGACGCAGTGGAATATGAGAGAGGTGCTTTGAGTCGACTCATTGCTGAGGGTCTGCAGGTGAAAAATAATGCTGAAAATGAAACACTCCCTGTTGTATCCAAAACCCCATCAACCTCAATTTCAGTGGGTAATGTACCTGCAGCCGGAGGTCCAACTGCGGCTGGACGTAGCAATGTAGGATCGGTCCCCACCTTTCGTTTCCCCATTCGCCTCGCCCACAACGTGCACCGCCATACCAGCTCTGCGCCGATCAATTTAATCCGCGATCTGAACCCTGCCAATACGTCTAGACTCACCAACGATGATCCCCATTCTGTCCAACCTCGTCCGCGCCCGCATTCCAACTCCATTTCGGGAACCTCTGAGAAAACTATCACCCGTAATAATATTTTCGGGTCAGTTGGTGGTAAAATCCGTCGTCGCAACCGTGCTGCGACTGCTGGGAGCCGCCACTCCCCAGTTCTTGAAGTCGATGAGGATCACTATGCAAATCTCGTGTGATACGTCCGCACTCAACATGGTTTTGTTGATGATTGCATTCCTTTTATGAACTCGGGAAATTTCTTAACTTTTTCACTTTCATTTTTTTCCTTCCCATATTTCTTTCGAACTGTATCTATTATCTATGGATGGGTCCACTTACCATGTATTCAGTTGCCTTCATCAGCCTGGGATATGAAAGCTTCCGGTCTGCGTTATGATCTTGTTTTACTTGTACACAATATGGAGGACAACAAAATCTTCCTGGAGTTTTTCTTGAATTTTTATGTTTGGTAAATATGGAAGGAAAAGCTTGAAGATTTATTTTTTTGAAGTCGTCGCATTTTCCTATTTGCCTGTCCACAAATGCCCCTCTTGCGTTTTTCCTAATCAGAGAAATATCCTGGTGACTTTTTTCTATTTCATTTTTTCTTTTCTCACTTGCGTCCCACATTTTACTTTTCTCCTTCCCAGGGTTTTCTATTCAACGTTAAAGAAGAATAGGGAGATGGGATGGTTCTGGCCTTCGACGATGTGCAAGGAGATGGAGAAAGCAAAACTGGCGGGCATTTGTTGATAAAACTGCGTGATGTACTCCGATTTCCTCAACATTATTTACTACCTTTGAATCTTCATTCTTCGACAAAACATGACTGAATCCCAGCCTTGGACTTTCATCTTATACGTTCGACGCCTCTCTTGTTAATTTTGAATGGATGAAGCAGAGTTGTTAGAATGTAGCAAGTTTAGTTCGTTCGTTAGGTTCTCAAGCAACAAAGAGTTCGCATAACCTGTCTGTTCCAATTGCCAGTGTATCAACTGCACCTACAATTGAAACCTGGAATGGTCTGTTGGACGGTGTGAATTGTAGGAGACATCATTTCATACCATCCCGAATGCTCGAATATATACGTGTTTGCGTTAATAATAAAGGGGGCTTCAGTTGTCGGTGGTTAAAGCAGCTAAATTTTTGCCAGTAACTACCAACGACGGCTGTGAAGCCAAAATACCCCCTGGACCTCCTTGTAAAATTCATATCAAGAAGGTAGTATTAACGATCCATCATCCTCGCTATGCGTATCAGCAAGTGTATCACCACGACTTTGAAGAGCACGCCTTTCCTCCGAAGCAGCTTTACTTCGCCTTAACCCTTCCTCTCGCTTTCTCAGCCTCCGCGCTTCGGGATTCTCCCATCCAGCTTTCCTCGACGAAACATCGCCAGGACGACCTAAACTAAGCTCCTGCAATTTAGCCCAAAATCTCTCTCGGCGATCGGAATTTATCTTGAACCGCTCATTGGCAGCTGCAAGCAACATGCGGAGATAGTCTTCAGAAACCAAGCTTTGAGCTGCACCTTCATTTTCATTTCCATGGTGATGTTGGTGACAACCAATAATGGACTCCAGGGCAAGTCCGGATGACCGTACCGCCACGATTGGATACGATTTTGTATCATCAAGGCATCGTAGGCTTTGTATGCCACTTTCTCGAAAACCTGCTGCCGTGGCGGCTGCAAGGACTGGCTGGGCATGTTTTAGGGACGATGCCATGATGTGGAGGATCTATAAACACCCCGTTAGACATGGATTTATTACAGTTCGAGCGGATTGGGAGGCATAAACAAGGAATCCAACTTGAAACCAACAAAAGCAAGAAAACTAACCATGGGTTCGAAATGAAAGCGGACAAGCCTCAAGCTTCCCGAATGAGCTATTGGGCCAATTTCCCCATCTCTGGAAATCAGATTAAACAGGTTATGAAGAGAAGTTCCTTCGATGGCCAAATCTATCTCTACCGGCTCATGGGATACAAAGAGCCATTTCCCGTTAGCCTTCCCTCCTGTGGGCGCAAACTGTGTTTGACCTTGCTCTGGACTCTCCCTGTCCTCCTCCTCTTCTTTCATGATCTTAGAATCGTCTCCTTTAATAGATGTGCCTTTGTTGCTTCTCCCCGCCGTTACATTGCTTTCTCTTCCCTTTCCCATTCCTTCTAAGAACACACTAATTCGTCCGGCACAGCTGCTCGTTGTCACTAAGCCCTGTATCTGATTGATATTGTGGATCAAATCGCGAATGCCCGCATCCACAGACCCCTTGGGTGATAGATCTGTGTATTCCTCATCTGGCACCGACAGATCCTGTAGAATTTTCTCCTTTCTTACTTCAAAGCCTGCGATAGGAGTGGACATGTCTCCACGGCTTATTTTCATATTCTTCTAAAGTAGTTAACAGAGAACTGGGTTCTGCAGAATCAAAGGCAAAATTGGAATTCCAAACCGGCTTCGCTCTTAGAATGATTTGGGCGATTCATTGACCGGTATTCGTTTCTCGACTGAGTTTGTTCAGCGTAGTAATGCATAAAGCGAGGATATGAAAATATAAAAAGACGATATAACTCGTTAACTACCTGCAAACAGCCAAATGGCGGTACAACTTTAATAAACCAACCAACCACCTCAGAAATTCCAATTCCTTTCTCTGTCCCGCATCTTCGAGAAACAAAACAGCAAGCAGCACCAGCCATAGAAGAAACATCTCTCTGGTCTATGCAGAGCAGAATCACCCAGTGCAAGCGCTTCAAATTATTTAGTTGGGCGCTAACAGTTGCGGCTCTCCTGCCGCCCTGGCTGCTCAGATGACGAAGGATGGATGGCTATTTATCCCTTGCGTCAAAATACAGCCACCGAACAGAGAGGCCATGGAAAGTTGGAAACGCCAGCCAGCGGCAATGATTCAAGTTCTTTTGACGAATAACTAGTTAAATAACCTTGTGTCCTCGTTCCTCAAAACTGTTTAACCAAACATATAATACAATTGATGTCTATGTGCCATTGCGGATTCTAGAACGCCGTATATAAAACAGAACAACTTGCCCCAAACGCCCACAAAGATGTCCAGACGTTCCTCCCGCCTCGTTCTCCAATCATCGGCCGCTGAGCAGCAAAAGAAACGAGCCTCTGACGACTCCTCCCCTTCTCCCTTCGAAACAAGCAGGGAGACAAAACGCCAAAAGTCCTCCAAGGCTAAAGTCTCCGCACGTGGATCGAAGCCCGCCAAATCTGCAGAAGGGAAAAAGAGCAGATACTTTAAGAAACAGGTGCCGGAAAGCCTGGATCCGGAGTCATCGGAGCTATCTGAGGCGGCTTCTGCTACAACATCAGCTTTCGAAGAAAGCAAAGCGGACTCGGCTGACGTCCCGCCAATTACGGATGAGTCGGAATCGAATACGAAACCACAAAAGAAGCGCGGTGATGGGGGTTGGGCAGGAGGACGGAAGAGAAAAACTACAGCTGCACAGGACTCCAAGGAGACAGGTGCTGGTTCCTCTGCTGCCCAAAGAAGGAAGGGAAATGAGTTATGGCGGGAGGGTGTAAAAGCTGGTCTGGGACCTGGGAAGGAAGTCTTTATCAAGCTTCCGAAAGCTAGGGATGCTGGTGATACGCCCTACGAGGATGGTACGATCCATCCAAATACACTGCTGTTCTTGAAGGACTTGAAGGAAAATAACGAGCGGGAATGGTTTAAGAGTGAGCACAATAAACCAAAATGGGGGGATGTTAAAAAGTGTTTTGTTCAAATTTGTTCTAACGATGGTCCTGTGAAACAGTGCATGATGCGGATTTTCGGACTTCAAAGCGCGATTGGGACACGTTCGTTGAAAGTCTTACAGAGAAGATCATGGAGAAGGATAGCACGATTCCAGAATTGCCTGCCAAAGATCTGGTATTTGCGCAACATATCGCCATAACCTCTTCTCCTATAACTAACTAGCTCCCTTTTGGGATCTCGAAGGTATTCCGTATATATCGAGACATCAGATTCAGCAATGATCCCACTCCATACAAAGTATGTCCCACCAGAAATCAGTATCAGTGACGTTTCTCTAGATGTGGATTATGGCTAATGCATTCCGAAGCCACACTTCTCGGCTGCATGGTACGCATCTCTCACACTGGCTGGGCTAGCTTTATGCCACAGCTAGCGAAGGAAACGGAACTGACAAATATTTAGGTCTCGAACTGGGCGAAAGGGCCCATATGCCGCATATTACGTGCATTTGGAGCCAGGGAAATGCTTTATTGGTGAGTTATATACCATCTGCGAATTTCCGCAACCATGTCGCAGAACCTATGTGTCCCATCAAACAACATCCCATCTCAAATGATAACTCTTTCTCGTTCTCTCCACCAAATCCAACGTTACCTGTGTCCCTTACATGGCTGCGGCCTGGTGATCATCGGCTGGATTGGTCCCAATATTATGTTTGCTCTCAAAATCGGCGTAAGGGGTGCTGTTCGAAGACAGACTGCACATGAGGGCGCTGCAGGAACCTATCATTATCCACTGACCATTTTCTACCCAGGCTCGGGCCTCTGGCATCTAGAAGTTGATAAACTTGCGCTGCTTCGCCAAGATATAGATCAGAATTCACGACGAATCAAGTCCATATTGAATGCACCTGATGTTCGAAAGGAGATTTTCAACGGCGTTCCAAAGAACGAGAAGGAGGCTGTTCTGGCGTTCGTTGGTCAGAATCAGGAGAATGCTCTGAAAACCAAACCCAAGGTAAGAAGAGAATTTTTGTCTCGTAAACCCATGGATAAAACACAGAGAAGGGCCTTACTGGTTCATTTACGCTTGCATCGTCGCCGCACCTGGCAATTTCGATCTCCAAACTATCTATATTCCATCATCACATTTAACCAGTCAAAGACACATGACATCAACTCGACCGTTTTCTGGAATCTTCAGTTGGAGTTGGCAATCTTTTCTCCGATGTTGAGGCAGTCCTCCGGCGGGTTTTGAAACTTCAGCCTGGCATCACCCAACGACGCCGTTAACTACATCAACAACACCAAAACCTAGGGTTCTTCTATCACTTCAGTATTTTATCATTTGCATACTTCCGCTTGTAATCCAGGAATAGTTAGCTTATCGGGGCCGTTCGTTGTTGATAACAGAACAAGTGGCCAGATCGGTGGTTGACCTCTGAGGTTGCTCCCGCTTCAACAGTCTCAGAAGCCGTTGGATTTTAAAGCCAGAAAGAAGATTCACAATATTTCATCTGATAAACAATCAACTGAACAGGATTGTTGCTGATACTCCCCATTGTACCGCTCTGGGGTAAAGTCTGGAAAGTTGATGGAATTTCCCGCTGTGTCCCAACGGTTTGGCCTCTCTCTCGCCTAAACGTCGTAGCGGGTTAGGCATTTGCCACCCCTTACCGAACCCCCCCCTGAACCTTTTTGGCCCCAGAGTTTACGCTATCGCTTGCTTTGTCCTAACCATCTGTTCCGTTCCTAATTTTGGTTCATTTACGGGTGAAAATATTGATCGGCGACAGAGAGACAACTGGAGACTAACACCTCCCTTTTCTGAACCAGGGATACGATGCAGATAACAAAAACATTGACCTTATACGGCTCCGCGGTTTCACCATGAGCAAAAGACTTCAAGACAAAGACTTGTTAGGTCCGAAAGCCCTTGATAAGGTCGCACATATTGTTGGGATTATGGCACCTTTCGTAAGACCTTCCTTTCCACTTTTTTTGGTTCCCATACTCCGTCAACCAGGACTAGCTGAGAACGACCCTCTCCTATGACATCCCCCGTCCCCTGCACCAAGGCCACACTGTTTTCGTAGACGGCCCACGCCGTTACCCAGATTTCTCCACCTCGCGACGCGGCTCCCCGTTTCAGTGGTTGGAGTTTTCTGGCGGTTTGTTCTCCACCTTTGGGCGTCGAATACTGACTGACCCTTTCATCCTTCATCACTGCTCGCTCTATGGTCATAAGGCAGCGTGGCGGATTGGAAATGCTAGCAAGTGTCGACCAATTTTCAGGCATTCTTGCATCCCGCCTCCGGGCCCCGCCACCCTAATTACTTGACTCCACTACCATATGCTGAAAAAATTGTTCAGGAAACCGTGCTGGCAAAGAGTTACACACAATACTATTTACCTCAACATCGTATTGACTGCGATGTCAAGCTCGATGGTTTGGCAAGTCTTTGGGCTAACATGCATAATTATTGACAGGTTACATACTTGAACAGCGTCGTGATGCCCGATCCCCCCAGCCATTCTGATAACGAAGGTGATGATGATGAAGGCGGTAATGGGGATGAGGTCGAGGAAGGTGCTGATCAGGGAGACACTGATTCTAGTGTGGTTAGCGAACCTGAGTAGAAATGCTCTTATCATTGCAGAAAGGTATCATAAGATAGTTCAATACCGATGCCCCCTAACTATATAGTCTCTATTTTATACGACAAAAATGATTTTGTGCTATTTGGGGAGAACTATTTGGCGAGTTCCTCTTTTTGCAGGCCATCAAGACACTGGTGGATGCAACAGGACTATGCTGCTCTTGGCTTTGGATGGTTTGATTCGCAATCGCATTCTGACATATTTGACGAATTGATACAACTTTTTTGATTCTACCCTCCCAAATCCGGATGCACACAGCACACAATTCAAACACTAGACAAATGAGCCGCATTTTCACCATCATTCGCGTGTTGAAAGGCCCCTACCAACTCCAAATGAACCTGTGCATCATACAATGCATCCCAATCTACAGTATTATTATTATGCAATTCCGTTGTTGATATGGCACGCCTCACAAACACCATCTCGCCGGCTGGGCTGTCTGGTCTTATCCAGACTGTCCTTTAAACTTGTGACAGCTTGATTACTCGGTAGTTGCACCGGGGGCTTTGGAAAACTGGTTCCATGAGAATCCAAATAGGAATATAGGACAGGTTTATGCTCAAAAAAAGTTGACATACTCCACCCTCATTCACCCTCATTTGATCGTTTTCGTTCTTGTGCAACTACCCATTTGTGTTCATCCCTGTCTTTCTTCATCCGTTACCCACCCTTTTCCCACAGCCTTTTGATTTCTCTCGCTAAGTAAAAAGTATACCACTAGTTACACGGTCCCTGTCAGTGTTTAAACCTTGGGAGCCGGAAGAAAAATAAATGCGGGCCGTGCTCTCGTGGGTGGATTTGCGGACGAATTACGTGACGCAAAAAACCATATCATTCATTCAATATTGGCATTCTTGCAAGCCACGTCTCCCAAAGTTCGTACCATGTTCTCCATCAGGTGTCCATTGGTTTATGAAAGTTAAGGATCTTAAGGATTTCAAGGATGAGGAATGAATAGACCTATCTCGCACAGTGGATAGAAGTAAATATGGCGGACTAGGAATTGGTTGAAAATGACGCTGCTCACATGAAAAAGAGATGGTGGATATCTATACAGTGTTTCTTAGACATGAACACAGGCATCAGCAGTTTGTTCTCATTCTATCAATGCCATACCGAAATACCAACGACAAGTGAGTTATGTGTCTTGGTAGAGAATAACTACACTTTTGATGTAAAAGCTAAACTGTGGGCCTTTTGTCATGACCCGTTTTTTCCCAGGCCACATTGTGTTGCATCGACTGGTCCATTTGAGCGATGGGAAAGGATTGCATGCTAATTCCCCCCCACTACAATACCTAATAAAAACAGTGAGATCCATCATACTTGTTGTTGCTCCTACCATTGAACAGAGATATCAACTAGCCATTGCTTAAATGGCCTGTGCGACACTGGACAGATCTGCCAACAAGAGACGAGATCCGGTATGAGAAAGGGGTTCGGCTACTTGGGGCGCGGAGATAAAATAAACGGCGGAGCTGTTGGAGTATTTATTGAATGGTTTGGTGTACTGCAGGAGAATTCTCGATTCAGGTGTGGTTTGTAGAGCTGGAAAGAAAAAGAAGAGCAAAATTTTTTATATGGATATGCAGGTCATACTGCGTAGTTGGCGGTACCCGTACATGGCTAGATTATTCTAGTTCTATGCTGGCATATGCCTCCCGCTATGTTCCTCTTACCCCTATTTGTCTTGAAGGTCAAAGAGAAACCATGATTTTACGTACCTTCACCATTTGCTCTTTTATCAGGATGCAGATGGATCCATCCACACGCAAAACGGCCATCCGGGGAGACACCACATGCATGCCCATTGGACATGTCCATGTGCATAGGACAAACTCCCACCTTTTCAGCTTTTAATAGGAAATTGATGCCCAACAACGACATAAATGCATTCTTCATGGATGCTACAGTATGTTCTAAAAAGGCCAATGGCCTCTCCCGTCCGTCCCGCTCCCGCTCCCACAAGTACACGGTTAAAGCACAATATAAAACCTCAGTGTCTTCTGATCCTGTTTAGTGCCCCAGGGGTATTAGGAAAAAAAGCGAGGATAGTACGCGCATATGCTATCCTCCTCTTCTTCGCATTATTCGACGTGCCCTTTTTTGTTCGCAGAACAATTTCTGACGGGGTAAATTGTACGACGTAATAATGCGCGCGATACGAGCAGTCACATATGCCTTGTTTGGCATTTCTTTCGCACAATGCTGTGTGCAGCGGGCGCTTGTGACACATAACCAGCAGACATTTAGAACTGATCTGATGCAGGGAAGTCGGGTCCACAGGAAAAATGGGAGGGGGGGGGGTAGAGAACAATGCGTGTTGTATATGCAGACATTGAAGGCGTTTTTGGGTCATTGAAGGATGAATGTGAGATGAATTAAAGTTGCTAGTAATGATGTGCACCGCAGCCAGCGAATTAAATAGAAGGATCATAGTATATGCTATATGGCACAAGGGATTATAGGGGGTGGGAGTTTTCGGCATTGACAGCGAAGAATCGCAGAGATTCGTCGTAGCTAAGGATGAGAGTTCTTCCAAAATATCCTTCCGGATACGGGTGCAGAGGAAGATGAAAGCCTGAAAGGACTTCGCTGCTATATGTACACATACCTAACTCCCAAGTTTAAATATTAGCGTTTTGAATCCAGTCATCGGCTTTGTCGATTGCAGCCATGCATATATGACTGCATATCGGCTCATCTCGGATGGGGGAAGCATGCTCAGACTCCAATTTTGATATCCGATATCCCAGTTGCCTCCGCTGATTTTGGCATATTATCGGTTCAGCCAGCAGAAAGAGAGAGAAACAAGGAAAACTGCTGTTGCTGATACGGCAATCGATCATTCGACACAGGTCATGGATTGACCAGGTGAGGGGAAAAAGTCGTTGGCTGAAACTCTCTCAAATATCACGGTCCCAAAATTCGTGCCTTGTCTTTCTCTGAACTGGTGGCTTTATCATGCAGAGACGAAGATCAGGCGAGCGCCTGATGCTGAGCGGCCTGGCGGCTGCTCTGCTACCTGAACCTGAACGTTGGCAAGGCCACTGATCCGGGACGGAAATCCCGGTTTGACTCCGCGCCCACAACGCTCACAGGATAAATTCTAGCGATGCACATTGTGAAGAAAGGGAAAGAAAGAGGAATGAGCGTATGGTGCCAGATTTTGACAGGTCATACATGCATAACGTAATGTATATGGCCTGTACTCCGTACACCTACGAATCTTTTAAAGGAAAGATCTGATTTTACAATTGGACCGTATTTTCCGTCTTTGATGGAAGAAACACAATAATGATGTCTGACAATAAAAATAGACATTGCACTACTGCATGATGGATTTGAAAATAGTACGGAGGATTTACGAAACAATCAAATGGTGAGCGCCTCGAGCTGTCAGTCAATCTCTAAACTGCTGTCGGAAAGCAGGTCCAAAAATGCCTTGATCCGGGGTTCATTCCTTCTCGACCACCTCCACCATGCTCCAGACTATCGGTTTCAGAGTCTTGACTTCGCTAAGGAACGGATAGACAAGTTGTCAAAACTTCCATTGGAAGGAAGGAGGAGGGAAAAGAAAACAGCAGAAAAGAAGATCTTTTGCTGATCTGTGCACAAAGTTTCGCGCTGCCTGTGCAAGTATGACATATCTTATTTTAATTTTCCTTTCTTTTTCTTTTCTTTTCTGTTTTTGGGCGAAGTTAAGACCCAACGGGAGGACAAGTGCGGAGGAGTAAACCCCGGGCTCTCTGGGATTCCGATTATCCAGGAGTATGAAATATCGAGGCTTGGCCGATGGGGGCGGTCATTTTGCGGCATCGCACTTCTGGACGCACATTGGCTGCCTGCAAAGCACATGACCGAAATCATATGCGGGTCTAGGCGGGAGGACAGGGATAATGTGTGGTTTAAGTTTGCTGTGGAACCCGAGCTAGGAGGAAACGAGACGCTGCAGCAAAAGTAGTAAGAAGCAGAAAAAGGAAAAAGGAAGGGGAAGGGGAGGCGCAAACTTAACACACATAAAAATTCAAAAGGAAATATACACATCCAGCGAGCGAGTGAAACGAACCAGTTGCAATCAAAATTGATGTGCTAGTATCCAGCAACTATGTGATAGTGCCCTCAGACTCAGGCAGCCCAATTAGCCCACAACCCCCAAAGTTCCCATCTGGCAGTTTTTTGCTCCAACACCCGTGGCTTCCTCGTCATGACAAAAGTGGGAAGCGACCATGATCCATATTTGGCGAAGATGAGCAGGCTCCATTACGCAACGGAGGCGGTGACAAACTTGCATTAGCGACAACGTTGGTCCATTTTCCTGGCCTGTTTGCTGGGACAGACGGGGACATGCTAACAAGGAAGAGCAGAGCTGGATATAATATTATTGGCTTGCCATCTGAGTCTCTGGCGAGAGGTTCGGAGAAGGAACCAACAAAAACAAGGGAGGCCTTGTAGAAAAGAGGGTCAGGTCAGCTGGGGAGGAACACACTTGCAGGCAAGCAATTGAAAGATGCGCCATGTGACTGGTCCGATGGATCTTGTTCTGTCACCCATACTCCATCGGACTATGATGGTAAGTCAATGGTTCCCAGTTCCCACTGCCCAGGCGGTAAAGGGGGGAGGGGGACTTGAGTATGCTAGTTTTCTTAGTGCGCTGTTAGTGCGCGAAGTGGGCGGGCGGGCAAAGGAAAACGAGATGCTGGAGAGCGCCCCCCCCCTCCCTCCTCCCTCCTCCCCTCTCCCGGGCTCGCGGTGGGTGGGTGCCCTGGTGCCCTGGTACAGGGCCTCTGGGGGGGTCGGACGGCAAAAGTTGGCCCGTTCTATTGGCCGTGGCAGCGCTGGGCACGGATTGCAGGGATGCCCCGATTGACCCGAAGCAAAACGTGGGCGGGCAGGGGTTTGGTACGCCGCTGCCCGTCTGCTCGATACCGTTTGCGTATTTACGGAGAGGCGTTGGCCGTATTACCAAAACGGTATGTATGGATACGGTAAGGTACCCAGGGCCCTGATCAACAGACAGGGGGGAATATCACACATGTCGGAGGGAGAGAGATGTCGGGTCATGTACTGTAGAGCGGTTCATTCGTCTCCATCCGTCCGGGAAAGCGAGCTTGGTTATGGGAGTCGGGCAATATCAACTTTGTTTTCGTGCCGCTCATCCCGCGATCCAGCATAGGGTATGCATAACAAACCAACCAGGGGACCGTGACCAGGGATGGGTGCCATTGCTGCTGGCTCTCCCTGTCCTGCACTGCACTCTTTCATGGTTGACAGTTCAGACATCAGCTGGACGGTCCTCCTCCAAGAAGCTGGGGTTCAGGCAGGAACACGGGTCTAAAGAGGGCAGAGAAAACAAATGGGGCGCAGGCCTGCAAGATCCTTCGTGTTCAGGCCCTCTCTTCGTCGCTGCTTTGAGGAAACATTGAAAAGCACATGATCGCTCAACAATGCAACGCCCCGCGTGTGCATTCATTGCATCGCAGTCTGCATTATGTTATCCTGCGTCGTTGTGTCAGTGTTCCACCCGAGGACGTCAAAGTCAAAAAGCCCATTTGCAATGTGGAACTGTGCTATCTGCATCCTGCCCATCGCCCCGAAGAGAGGAGCTAAATTTGTTAACTACATATGTTTTTCTCCTCTCGCGTTTCGTTTGGATAAAGTTACTGGAGAAGAGAACGGAGGAAAGGAAGGGAAAAAATAAAAATAAAAAATAAAAAATAAAACAAAAGTCAAGTCA